TTTAATAGTTTCGGAGGCTTTTTTAATATTCAATCTATTAAAACTATTAAAACTTTTAATACAGAAAGCAGCCATGTCAAATAGTACATAGAGGTTCCTCTTACATATATATATATACACACATACATACATACGTACGTACGTACGTGCGTACGTACATACATACATACGTACATACATACATGAGGCCCCACCCGTAATCCACACCCCCTTTCGATGCGGAAAAAATGCAGTTTTTTGCCAAAGAAGCAAGGGTTTTGCATATTCAAGCCTTATTGTTGATACGACAGCCGAAACAAGCAGTACTTTTCCTGAATCCTAGGGGTGTTCCTTGCATGCTAAATGAAGCCCATAAACCCACAAAAACAAAATATACAGATAACTTGGACCCCAGGCCGATTGGGCTTTCACAAATGGTCAATGTTTTGTTGGGAAAAACCATGCTTTTTGGACTTCAGGCCTCTGGAATCCCAAATCAAAAGAAGGAAAGGTGTTGTTGCTCGGTATTCCTGCGAAAAAACTAGCATAAACATGTTCTTGTAAATAGTCAGGCCTCAAACATTCCGAATGCATTGTCAAAACAGCGGCTGGATTATGGTGGTGAATTCTCAATTCAATTCACGAGCGCTTGACGAGGCCCCGAACAGGATGGCCTCTCGACTCTTGGTAGAGTGCACGGCAGACGTGAGATTTTAAAGATTTTAGGTTCGAAAGTAAGAATAGAGCAGAAAGGAGATGGACAGCCGTGAGCAGATGCGCTTCACTTTGCGTGTCATTTAAGAAGCATTGTGAAAGGACTGGCTTTCGGAACCACAAGTGTGTTGGGAAGGGAGCACTTCGTTGTCGTCGTCCTTGTTGTTGTTGCTGCTGCTGCTGTCGCTGCTCTTCTTTTGTTTGGTTCAAGTCATTCTATGTATTTATCTAGTTTTCCTCTTGGCGGTCACGTTGTGTTGTTGCTGCTGCCGCTGCCGCTGCCGCTTCCGCTGCCGCTGCCGCCGCCGCCGCTGCTGCTGCTGCTCGTCTGCATGCTGGTTCAAAGTTTCGGGTCCACTGGAGCAAGCTCTGAGCGCAGGGTTTTGGCTTAGGGCAGCGTGCCCGACATGTCAGTTTCGCTTGCAGCGCAAGAAGACAAAACGCAGCATCCGTTTGGTGTTTTGGAGTTCGGCGGGGTTAATAAACCTTTACTGAACCAATTCCTTCGAAGAATGGAGATACATAGAGACTCTTGAGACAAGGAGGATGGTTTTGGGGTGTTGCTGGCATTACGGCGGGTGCGAGCGGGCGTTGTTGCAATTTTTGACTCTTGACCGGACCAGCATACTACAACGGGTCGGATTAAGGGCTCAACTTTAGCACCTGCAATCGCATTGAAACCTGAAAAGAAACCGAATTTCTATTTTTCAACAGCCCACAGAATTCGTGACATAACTATACGAATCTCTGGCAAGTGTAACCTTTACCGGGAAGCCCCTTCAAGTTTCGAGCCGATTATGAAGGCCAGTGAAATGAGGCTTGTGCAGTGCAAGGCCGTCAGCGGACCCCGCCAGCCAACGGGTGCTTTCAACAGTGAAACCTTAGCAAAGAGCTTCGATCCCGAGGCCCATGAGTCCTGGTGCCGGCAGCATGGAACCTTCTCCGGAAGCCCTTGAGCTGTTGGCTTGTTACGACAGCATTTCTCGGTACAGTTGACCGCCTGAGCCTTTGTGGTGTCTGCATTACGGCAACATTTTTGGTACAGTTGCCTGCTAAATGTGGCGGAAAGTCCCGCGACAGAAGCTTGCGGCGAAGCAGCCCTAATTTGTGTCCGAAAATGGTTTTCTTGTTTTTGCTTTAGCTTTGTCATGCCTCGTACGATGCAACAGCGTCTTGCGAGTAGAAGGGGCAGGGGATTGGGCAACAGCAGCAGACTTGCTTGAGAGATTCGTCCAGTTTTGGCAGATCCCAAAAGGCTCTGCGCGACACTACGAACAGTAGCACTTGAGCCTCCATGGCATCTCTTCCTTGCGTGAGGCCGGGCCTCAACATGTAATGCAGCAAACCTCAAACTTCACAGTTGTCATGTTTGACCTACTTGAATCGAACATGCGTCGTTTATCTTCTCTAATTCTTGGCGGAAAACTGTCAAACGAGAACTCCTCTTCACCGCTTTCTAGAAAGAGAAAACCTCACCGCCTCCAGTGTTGAGATCGTTTCACAACAAAGAAACATATATCCAAGGGCTGCTTTTCAGCTTCTTCATTTTTATCGAATAAAACCGTGAGTAAGATTCAGGAGAACTCATTGTCTGCCACAAGTTCTTGCGAGTCTGAAACTGAAATTTGAGACTCGCAAGAACTTCTGGCAGACGCAGTAGTACGCAAAAAGGGCCTCTATGCACTCTTCTGTTTTTCAAAAAGGAAAGCCCCCTTCACGAGTACGATAGCTTCTGTATCTCACAATAATGCACACAGAAACCACTTGAAATGAAACAGCCCGATTCTAGTGGCATGCCTTCACCCTCTTCACAACGCTTTCTTCAAGAGGTGCTCTTATGTTCAACGAAAACTGTAGCTAGGAACCGTGGGAACTTCTTCTACGGTTTTTTGACTAGGAAGAAGTACGCTAGCTTCTGACACTGGCAATAGTACACAAAACACCTCTCTTGTTTCTCCACCCAAAAGAGAGAGAGAGAGAGAGAGAGAGAGAGAGAGAGAGAGGGCCCCCTTTCGATGGGATGTTTTACAATCATGAACGACATACTGCTGACTCAGCAAGAACTCCTCATCTTAAACGAACGACCTCACACACATATGTAAACAAAACAACAAGACGGTAGGTCACTGAGAGGGGTGGCGAATATCTGCATACATATATCATACACTACACATGCATAGACAAACATGCACGTGCATATTTGGTGCATACAGTGAGTCCGAGCCGCCTGCGAACTAACTTGAAAGACCGACTCCTACTTGTAAGGTACACAACTGAACCAAAAACACACACAGATACAAATTATCGGTGTATCCAGTCTCCCTTCTCTGTTATAGTTGTTTGTGTTGCCCCCTGAAGAACACCTGAACCCAAAGACACTCACAGTACACTGTAGTGAGCTTCAGGAGCTTTCATCTCTTTCTTGACACAACATGCAATCTCTCAAATGCACAGAACAGTGAAAACATTACTGCGAGTTTGCTGTCGTCTAGCTCGTGGCTTTTCCGCTCACGGCAAAATAGAAGCAAAGGAAAGGACAAGCAGATGTAATTACAAACTCTGGAGTCCGCCTAATAAAAGAAATGGAAACTTTAATTCTTGTCCACTTTGGGCCCAGGTCCCCAAGCTCAGGTGTGGCCGAGGAACAGGAGAGATAGCAGATCCTCTACCATGCTGACGGCTTTTCCGTAGCTCGTGCTATCCTTAGCAAGTGATGCGTTTCAAGCTTCTCATGCTTCGGGATGGTTGCTGGGATGGGGGCGAGTGGGGTAATTCCCTCCAAGTGTCACCACTGACCTTGATGGCCAGTGGATGGCCGCCATCACCGCCAACCATTGTGACGGCAGCCCCGCCTTTGCTGACCCACGCAAGCACTTGCCGCTTCCTTTTGCTACGTGCGTCACGCATCAAGCAGCTTGCCAGTACAAAAGTAACAACCTTTGCACGTGCAATTCGTAGGATAGTCCGGAACACTGTTTTTCGCGACCCATTGCAAATTCGAGTCGTGCTTGCCACCCGAGATGGCTCTGCGGCTGGCTTGAAGGCTGCGTCCTTGTGGCACTGCAAAGAGGCCTTCCTGGGTTCCAGGCGGTCATAAGACTACCGAGCCCCAAGCGCACAAAGCAGCGAAAACTGGCGTTAGGCCACGGTTGGGGTTTGGGTCTACTGCAAGATCATGCTGTGGAGCTGCAAGCTGCTCAGGGTCCAATGGTGGGGGTGACTGCAAGCACACCAAGGCACTGCTACTCTCGGGCATGAGCAAGCAATAAAGATGACCTAGCATGCAATGGTATAATTCGATAACAAGAAAACAATCAAACGACTATACTATGCACAAAAATCAGAGCAATCATAATGACCATAAGAATCATACAGTAATCATGAATCATAACACTGCGGTACAAAGAGTCGAACAATAAGTTCAAGAATGCAAACATGAACCGGACTCTGTGATGTTGAAAATCAATTTCTGGCCGCTCACATTCGTCGAGGTCGTTTGTGGCTGCGACCTTGGGGCCTTTGGGTCAAGCTGGGTCCCATGCCGAGGCGGGTAGCGTAGCGACACACTATTCGGAACCTGAACTGCTCCAGCTTGCCAGATGTCCACGCCCTTCTTCCATATTGGCTATCGGCTCGGCCCCGCAACCGGAGTCCACGAGGCCCCTCTTCAAGGTACTAGACAAGAGTCACAAGATGTCACAAGAATGCAACATCAGGAAACACCCAAGTACGTGTAGAACTCCAGCCCTGCCAGGCTGCGTGGAAGGACTTGTGAGTCTCCTCCGCACCGCGCGTGCGGAGCGAACTCAGCGCAGCCACTGCCGCATTGATTTTGGCCTCCTCGGCCGTCTTTGCTGGGGCTCCTGCCACATCACGAGAAACGTGACCCGGGGGCGGGGGGGTGATGGGTGTGATTCCTGAGACTGCCCAAAGGAGCAGCACGGCAATACACGCCGTGCCTTCATGTGAGCCCGTGGTAATTTTCGCCACTGCCAAGTAGGAGGCTCCATGAGCCCGCACTTCGTACTCGGCGATGGGTGGCAGAAAGTCAGGGTTAAGCAAGTACTCTTTCAAGGTGACCTGAAGCCGCAAGATGCCACAAGTCTGTGACAGAGAGAATCCACTTTGAACATATCAGACGCTTAGTCCTACTCGTAGATAGTCCTAACATCTCTTCACCACAGGAACCTTGCGTCGGCCACCCAGCTTCTCCGCAGCGGTCTCAAGACTTTCGTGCACTTGCTCGAACACCAACCTCTTCGGCACTTTGGTTCCCGTAAAGGTTGGCCACTGGGGCAATGCCCACATCAGCAGGAGGGCAAGAAGTTGCAAGCGCAGGCACCGCATCGTTTGCATCGCTGGGGCCCAGGATGTCTTTGCTCTCTTGGTCCAGCGCTGCGGCTACCCGGGAGATCCCTTGCACACAGACAATGTGTGAGCTGGAACGTGCTCTCGTTGCTACACCCTGTACCGGCAGAAGTCTGCACTTTTTTTGTCGCAGCCCCAGCCCAGAGAGGATGCTGCGTAGGGCCTCAGAGGGACGACTCTTGGGCAGCAGTGGAAACCCACAACTGCGCAGGTCTGAATCTTGAGGCTTTAGGACCTTAAGCGACTTAGGGTTCATTAAGCTTTGCCAAGCAGCTTTCACTGCACTTCTTCGCTTCTCGGGCTAGACTGTTGTCGGACCCGCGAGCCTTTCAGGCAAATTTGAGAAGTCTGCTCTGAGGGCACTGTCTCTTGAATTAGAAGAAATCATCTGCCCAGAATAAGCTGGAATGTGATGAGCCAGTAAAGGCCATGCTTACATCTCAAGATCCTCATCAGGGCGCACTGTTTCCACTCAGTAGCAAGAGACCATGATGCGCGTTAAAGAGCCCATTGCAAGCATGCTGCAGATTTCTGCTACCAGACTCTGAGCCCTGACAACTCCATGAGATGAATCCATGCCTTGCCGACATGAGTGCCTCATGAAAAGCGGACCGAAACCGTGAGCCTGGCTGAGGTAGAGATGAGCCTCCAGGGTTTGAAGCCACCCAAGAAGAGCAGGGCTAGGAGAACTCTGACGTATTTCTTGCACTTCTTGTCAAAATCCACTAGTCTTCTGCATCAAGCAGGCAGAACCCTGGCCTTGGCAGCCCAGTCTGTCACGGCCTCGCATGGCGCGCACGATCTCAAGACATCAGCCAATCCACTCCAACAGTACTCAATACGCACGCAGTTCGCCACGGAATCCCCATCCCTTGCATATCTTCGTCGGCCTCATCGGCTAACCAAAAACCCGAAACCCTAAAACCCGAACCCCAAAGCCCGAGGAAGACAGCGAATCCAAGAGTTAAGGAAAATTAACTCTGAAGTTAATTGACCGGCATCCGGCAGGCTCGACGCCTCTTGGGTCCAGCACAATTAACTCTCGATTTAATTGGCCTGTTAACGTCGCGCGACATAGCATGCCATGCTAGCAAGCTGCTCAAGGAAAACAATTAAATCAAGATCTAATTGTTTCTGCTAGACGACCCCAACCCGCAGCAGAATTAAATCAAGATTTAATGGACATGAACCAATGACCAAGCCTGAATACGGGTCGGATCGGGAACCACCTTAACCAGTAGGACACCCATGAAATCAGGGACAACCAGATAACTAAATATACCTACACCGGAATGTTGATGGCATGGATAGTAATAATAAGAATAAAAATAATAGTTATAACAATAATTATAATAATAATAAAATAGTAATAATAATAATAGTACTAAGAAGAAGAATAGTACTAAGAATAATAATAATGATAGTACTAAGAATAATATAGTAATAAACAAACAGTAATAATAACAATACTAAGAAGAATAATAATAGTAATGGTAATAATAATAGTTATTATAAGAGTAAGAATAATAGTAATAGTAATAATACGAATTACTAATAGTAGTAATAATAGTACAATTAAATCATGATTTAATGGTGCAAATACAATTAAATCATGATTTAATGGCGCAAATAGGTACCAATTGGCAGAAGTCTCTGCTATACCATTAACTCAAGATTTAATTGTCTGCCAGTCAAACACACAGGAACACAATTAAATCTGGATTTAATTGTGTTTCTGGAGGGAAGAAGGTATGTCGAGGTAGGTCAAAACCCAACCCAAAGGCAACAATCAAATCAGGATTTAGCTTTTTTTAACTTCTGGATTCATTGGTTTTCCCCAAAGCCCCCAAGCCCACTCGCATCTGGCTTGCTTGCGGCTACCCGTCGACGGTTTTGCTCTAGCATTCTTTACTGTCAGATTGAACATCGTCGGAATCTGATCTCGCCTCCTCATTGCCGAGGCGCAGCGCGCATTCCATCGCCTTGCAACTGGTGCCCAAAGTGTGCTCACAGTGCCAAATCGCTGCAAAGCCTTCTTCGAGCAAGAGTTTTGCGACAAGAGCTGCCTCGTAGCAGGCCAGACCTCGAAGCATCTTGTCCGACAAACCTGTTACAAGGCAAGCAAGACTTGGCGAAAGTGACAGAGTCAACTTCAACAGTGGGAAACTGAGAACGAACGGGAAAAGAGCAGCAGGCAGCGGCAGCAGCAGCAGCAGCGGCAGCGGCAGCGGCAGCAGCAGCGGCAGCAGCAGCAGATCTCACCGAGCGTGCATCGGCCGTCTCGGACAGTCAACTCACGTGAACACCCGTGAAGATCCGCATCCACAATCTCGGCCTTCTGCATCAATGGTGGCCAGGAGTTCTTCCGCACAGAGTAAGCCACTCGTGGGGTTTGCAGGGCCTTCGCGGCAGAGCTCCTCCTCAAGCCTAGCAGGGATTGGGTGGGGGTGGGGGTGTTCAGTACCGTCTCATGAAGTTGTCATGACATCATAGCTTGCTTATATGAAACTACATTCCGGATTGTGTTCAAGTGGGTTTGTTTATGCAGGAAAAAGGCCACAAGCCAAGCCTTGCAATCGCGACACGGTTCGCATCACTTTGGGCAGAATCCAGTGTCGAGCATGCTGGACAAGTGCACTCAAAGCCGTACCTGGGTTTTGACGAGAACGGTCGACAGATGCTCAACAGTCTTCGCATGCCCAGGTCCTATTGCTTATTGCATCAACTTGAGACTTTCACAAGCTTTGTTCCAAGCCTGGTCTAAATCGGGCTAAGGCGGCAAAGTGGCTTGGCTTTCAGCTCTTGCTTTCGCTCTGCCCGTGGCCTTCTAAGGTCGCAGTAGGTGATGCCTGAGGCAAGGTGAGGATAAGCGCTGTGCGATGTAAGCCTATGTCCCGGTATTCCCAATTCTCCCCACAGATCACCCCCTTTCCCAGTCGAGTAATCGGGAGTGCCCAACGCTCCACACCATTAGTAACTACAAGGACCTCTGGGCTGTTCATGCAGGTCTTGCTGTGCCGATGCTCGCTTGCTCATGCCACTACTCATGATCCTAGACCTAGCTCTTCAAGTATGTCGGTGCCGTTCAACTACATTCTGAATCAACTTGTTTTCACGTTCTTCTCATCCTCTCCGTGATGACAGTCATGACATCCAATGCCCCAGGTGTTTCATACTGTGAGCTTGTCCGAACTCTCATGGGCACCAGCCAAGACTGGATCCCCAAATGATGGCATTCCACCCATGAGCTGACTCGTTGGGGCCGATGAATATGAACTGACCCTGCTGCGAGGCCTCTTAAGTTCATAAAACCCATGCTTGGAAGGAAGTTGCAAAGCTCTTCTCCTTCGGAGATATCACTCATCGCATAGAGCTTCTCCATGCCTCAGTTGCGTGGCAAGAAGAACGATGCGGAGCGCACTTACTGACACGATCACGCGCAGCAGAAGCTTCAAGAGAGACCAGTAGAGAAGCGCATTCTATTAATAAGCATTGAACACTCCGAGAGTCGAAGAGCACTCCAAGGGTCCCAGACCAGGTCCAAAAACCCTAACAACCTAAACTCCTAAGCTCCAATGCTCCTAAACCCTAAACTCCTAAAATCTCCTAAACATTTCAGGGCTTGATGATAAGGAATACGCAGTGGTGATCGAGGCGGGAGAGCGTTGTTTGCCGCACCGCGACATGCAAATCCCCGTGGGCCTTCTTGGCTGGACGAGGCGGACCCATGCAAGAGCCCAACACGGAAAGTATCCGCGCCGGTCGCATTTTCGCGGAACGAAGCGACGCAAGCCTCAAAAGTGCACGGGAAGGTGGGAGTACCGACTCGAGTACTGCGTACGGAAGGTGCGCGGGACCTATGGGCATGGTATTTGCAATGAAACCCACGTTTCGGGCATGCCCACGCTTGGCCTCGAGAGCAAACGTCCCGGGCGCACACCATACTCTTCATGATGGGATGTCATCGTACTGGCATTGGGGTATAAGAAGCTTATGCTCCATGAAGCAGACGCCAAAGCAATGAGGTTAGAGTATAATACTCTTCGTTGCGGTCTAGCTTCCTGGGCTTAGGACTGAAATTGATCATTAGCAGACTTGGAAATTTGAAGATCAGGGCTTTAAAAAATTGGCTTGAGAGTTGCGTTGGGCATACGACTTCGGCATGTGGAACTTACAGCACCTTTGGGGATGCCATTCTGCCTGGCTTAGGGTTTGCGGGAAAAGTGGGCGAGCTCGTTTGGGTTTGTGGTCGTAGGGTGTTGTACGCCATGAACTTTACCCTTAAACGTTCTCACAACCAGCGGTTCGCATTCTAGGCTTAGGGGTGTCGTAGTGAATGAGTTTCCGGCTTGGGGGTGCAAGTGGATTCTCCTTGACCCATCTTGGAATTCGCGAAGCCCCAGTGTGCACACGCGCAAGATACGACATTACACAAGAATATACCACTCAACCTGGCTTTCCTGTACCCATAGCACAGGTCGAGTTGCCAGATGTTCCATCCCACGACTGCTGGCAATTTGGCGAACAGGAATGGTTCAACCTGCAAGCCGCAACTGGCCCCGATTTGCAACTAGAAGTCCAGTCCAGCTGACACAAACAGCATCATCCTGCCGCAAGCTGCAAGTAGCATGATTCGTGGAAACCCGGGTTTTTAGAGAAGCCGCGTCTGCCAATTTCCCACCCTTGCCTTTGTTCGATTGTTTCCCTTGCGCCCAGTCCTCCCGCTACCTCCGGAGCTCCAATGAGTGCTTCCTTTGCCTTTCCGGTTCTTCTCGTCCCCCACATGCACCCGCACAAAAAACTCATCCTTCGCCGATGGCATCCGTCAGCTCTTACGTGCCCGTCCATGCCATTGCCCGGGGCAGAGCATCAGCCGCGGGGGGCGGTGATCTGTCAGCTGTCTGTCAGCCTCGGCCTGTACTGACTGGCAAGCTGCATCTAGTCTAGTCTTGGCCAACGTCTGCCTCTCGAATTCGCTTCGGCCTCCGCCGTCTAGAACAACGAGACCCCTTCCCCGGCCACTGGGCGGGTGCCGTCTGGCACCGCAAGCCTTTTTCCTGCGAATCAAGGCAGACAAGGCGTGCCAAGCTCATGTACGTGCGGGCTCTCAAGTTTTCAATGCACGGGTCGGCTGTGGTTCGGCATCTTTTTTCTCGACCCGTACTCACTTATACTTGCTTTCCTTATCGGCGGTCCGGGCGAACTGGAAGCTCCGAGGTGCGCCGCTTGGACGGCCATGTCCCATGACGAGTCCCGTGGCTCAGAGGGCAGGCCGGCTGCATGCATCTTATAAACACTTTCAGCTCGGCTCACTATAGACCTTCACGCCCAATGTCAAACATTGCGCCTTGCCAAAGTTGGGCACACCACGAGGGATGACGAAGTGGCACTAGCTCCGCGAGAGAATGCATTGGTGTCAATGATCCCGCTCCTGAGTCGTCACAGGAGGTGCAATGTCTGAAGCCATATACTCACACTATTTCCAAGGCTCAGCACAACAACAGTGAGCGCTATGCTAGCATGTCGTCGGTGCTCACGATGGTGCCGCGTAGGCTTTCTGATGCCGCCAAACGGCAGCGTCTTCTCCCCAGCTGAGCAATCGCTCAAACCTGATGTGGGCCAGAAAGCTCGCAGGCAAGTCCATCAGGTGCGTCAAACATTCTAAGTATCTGCGACTTCAAACAGGGATGGTTTATGGACATTTTTTTGACACACACACACACACACTCACTCACTCACAACTTTGTAGCTGTGTGCCTCGAGTCCGGAAAATTTCGCTCCTGGGCCCTACCGAGCATGGCTTCACTGGAGCTGGATGTTTTTGAACCTGGAGCTCTCTGAGTGGTGCCTGCGCTACGCCGCAGACATCGCTCGGATCATCCTTTTAGTATAGTGTGGGGCCACGTCTGTTTTCAGGAGCCACTGTTGCAGGCATCCCTTATATAGCCTTGTTGAGCCGAAATTTGTTAAAAGGTTGCCGGTTCCTTTTCATTTCAATCCGTAACCCTACATACTTAAGGACCGTCGCACACCTTTCGAGTGAGCCGGACCCTCCAGGATGGGATCGGTTGCCCCGGCGCTCTGGATTTGGAACACCGGGGCTCATGAAACGAGAGACGGCTCTTGAAGCCTTAGGTCCACAGAAGGCTTGGCCTCTTAGTCTTGACTTAAAGGCCGAATGTACTCGCCCGACAGCTTTAAGTATACTTGTGCGAAAAGAACGGATGCCAAACCACACCCAGGACAACTACAATGTAGGTTTCCGGCCTCCGAGCATATAATACATCCTTGGAGACCGGAAACCTACATTGTACTTGTCCTGGGTGTGGGGACTCCAGCCAGCTAAATATAGCCATTGACACATTCCAAAGGGATTGCGGCCCTTTTTCGTGTGTAAAGCAAAGTTGGCGAATAAGCTTTCTGACGGAAGGGCCTGTAAATAGACTCAAATAGACGTCTGCAGAAACCTTGGCAAATGAAACTCGAATTACATGCTCTCAAGGAGTCCCGGGCACTCTCACCAAAAATGCAAATGTCCTCCACGTCGCGCACAGTCCTCTTTTCCTTCGGCTGCCGTCTCGGCTGCACTCGTAGAGTTCCCGGACTCGCAGAAGATGCCTTCGGCAATGGCTCAGTCCCTATGGGTCTGCTATGCTCACGTAGCGGGACCGGGCGAATTTCAAGCCTCATGTGCTTGCACCAGACATGCTCTGCTGGCACATCGAGTACATGACATGCTTGGGAAATGAAGTCCAACTCATGATTTGGAACCTTCCTTGACATGCCCCAAAAAGGCTTGGACGAAGGTTCCTAAGCTTGTCGCTTAGCAAAAGGAAAATACTCACGGATCTTCTTGATCCTGAGCCTGAGGTGCCACAGAGCTGTTCATGGACCTTCTCTTCTTGGCCGAGATGAAAGCGCCATCCATTCGGATCTTCCACACCCCGGTCGCCAAGAAGTTCTTTATGGCATCTTGTTTCGCGCTCTTGGTCAGGCCATCCGCAAGCTGCCTGTCGGAATCACACCACAAGACGGTGGTCTTCTGCTCACGAATGTGCTGTTGAAGGGCTGCCAGCTCGAGAGCAGAATATTTGTCCTTGATGCCAACCGTTGCTGACATCACCCCATCTCTCTCCAAGACATCGTAGACCGCCTTTGCGTCTATCACCATAGCAGCGGGGATCTTCTTGACAAAGGACTGAGGCTGCTGAAGGTCGATGTCGTGTCCTAGCAATTCGCACCATGTCAAGCGTGCCAGCATCATCTCTTGCTCTAAATCCGCAAGACTTTGAACTTCTGCTGATAAACTGGATCTCGCTACTCGATTGAGTTTGGAAGATTTCCAGCCCAAAGGATTGACCTTGCCGAAGCCCTTCTCAAAGTCTTTTGGATGCATGAAGCCGAAGATGTGGCCTCCTGTACTCGTCCCATCTGGGCGATTTGCGAGTGCCGCGTCGCTCCATCCAATCATCATCATCTTCTCCGGCTGCTGTTCTCCCAATTGTTGGACTCTTACACTGATGTGTCGAGCACTATAGATTTCCCGGACCAATTTGTTGATCTGCTCCACTGCTGAGAAGTGGCGCGTCGCCAGGAAACTTTGAAGAAAACTCAGCTTAGCAGCGTGCTGCGGCCCTGACTGAGTCACACGCCACTGTGCAGACCCAAGAATGGCACGTGCCTGACTCAGCTCTTGCTCACTCAGGTCCTTCTCGTCACCCTTGGCTCTGGACGGCATCTGGCTCAGATTGGCACAAAAGTCAGAGTGGTCGAGGATCACGGAGTCGTCTGACATCTGTTGCAAGCGCAGTCCACAGTGCAAGAAGTTCTCAGCTTCCCACAAAGCCCACTGATATGAAGCATGGAACTCGTGAAGGAAGGTCGTCCAAGTCGATGACGCTTCGTCCCCTGTGAAGAGCACATCATCTACATGGATCCCTAGTATCCCGACAACTTGTGCTTCTGCGTTCAACACCCGCCACAAGCATGGATCTACCTTGCTTTGCTTCGCCCCAAGTTTCCTCAATGTCGAAGCGAGATCTTCAAACCATTCTCGAGGAGCGGATGTCAGTCCATACGCAGAGCCGAGAAGCTCTATCATCTGTCCCTCACTCAGACCCATAGCCTTCGAGAGCTCGGGCAAAGGCTTAGCGTAGAGAGGATGTAGCCGATCACGAGGTTTTGCTTGTAAGAAAGCCGTGCGGACGTCACCGGCCAACACCTTCCATCTCCGGGCTGATGCCATGTTCAGGAGGAGCATCTTTGAGAGTCTTGACATTGCTGGGCTCGAGGTTGTTCTCTCTAGCAGTGACGGGTCGGAATACCCGAGCACCACTATTCTTGCCTTGGCTTTTACTTTTCCTCGGTTTTCTTCTCCTTCTCCCGCACTTTTGAAGGTATAGATCCAACGCATTTTCATGGCCTGATGCTCTTGGATGGAGGGGCACGCCGCCTTTGCCACCTTGTGACCAAGCCATGACTCCAATTCCGCCACTTTGGCAGACTCCATGGCCTTGCGCTGATCTGGATCGAGCTTGTGAAGCGCCACCTCCACGCCCTTCTGGACATTCTTTACCATGAACTTCGAAGGATCCTTCAAGATTCTCCGCCAGGCTTTTGGGTCTTCAGGAATGTCCAGCACTACGGAGAACAGAGTGGTCTCGAACTCAGACTCCTCCATGAACATCGCCGAACTTGAGTTGCGCACATGCCATGGCAGCTCACCTCTCTCATGCATCGATCTCTGCTCTTGGAAAGACACTGGACCTGGGATTCCTTGGGGAAGGTAAGTGACATCTTCAAGCATCCTCTCCATGTCCACTGGCGCCACACCTGATTCTTCCGGCAACAGAACTCGCTTTGAACCTGTTGGACGGTCCGGCACCATCTCCTCATCGGATGGAGCATCTCGAACGTGTTCTGGAACCTCACTGATGGCGCCTCTCTTATGAACTTCAGGATGATGCTCACGGATCTCTCGGTCTTTTTGCTTGGCTTTGGATGACCTCCCCCATGTTCTTTTCTTAGCCCGCGTTTCATCATCGTAGCTCCCCTTGTGCATGAGGTTCGAAAGGGCAGTCATTGTCCATGGAAAAGACACCGAAGATACGGCTCCACTGATGAGCTTCTCCGAGGTTGAAGCATGTCTCAGCTGGCTCGCGTGGAACTTCTTCAGTCGGCCAGCCGCAATCGCCCACACCATTGCTGACGGTCTCCGAGATGTTCCGTCGCTCTTAGTCTCTGTCGCCAAGACTCTAGCTGGGCCGAACCATCTAGCTGTCCGCATACGAGGGTAGTCCACCATGGAATTCGCAGGCAAGTCTGCTGGGTGCTGGTATCTTCGGTAAAACACCAAGTCTCCAGGAAGGTATCGAGCCTGCTCTCGGACTCGAGCATTCTTCGCCCTTGTCGCATGTTCTCGAGCTCGATGTTCTAGAAAAGCCTGTTCAGCTTCCTTTCGAACTTGCCACGAAGAGGATTCGCTCACCGAGATCTCGTCCAATTCAGAGTCCTGCAGTCTGCCACCTGGGGACCAATCCCTGCCGAGCGCCCATTGCATGGGTGAAAACCCATGGATTCTCGCGAGGGAATTGTGGGCCGCGACCATAGCCAGGGCAGCTCTTCGAGGATGTTCCGGTGACCCGCGGAGAAAGGCTTCTGTTTTTGCTCTCAGCAACCCAATAGTCCGTTCCACCTGCGCAATCATCTCATGATGCTCAGCTGGCGCGGCAACCAAATCAATCCCTTTTCCAAGGCACAACTCGCGGAGTTTGGAACTTCGATGAGCCCCTTCCAAGTCCAGCTTGATGACTTCGGGGTATCCAAAGTACTGGAACCAAGCCTCTTGCAGGATGTCCATGACTTCTTGCCCAGTGATGTTTCTGCCTTCTTCTTCTGGTACTGAATATGCCTCCCGAATGACGGCATAGCCGCTTGCTTCATCCACCATCAAGACAAAGTGATGCATCCTTCCATCAAACTTCAGGTCCCAACCATCAATCTGCAAACACGACCATAAGCGATCCGTTCGTTCGAGGTTTACCACAGGGCTCGGCATCCGAACCTTCCCTTCTAGGCACTCATCGCATTGGATTTGAGACGCTGCAGCGATGACCAAAGGGTTCGCTCCTCGGGCCTGGAGGTTCTTGACAAGGAGTCTGTTGTTCGGATGACCAAATCGTCGATGCAGCTTCAACACCGACTCTTCCAGTCTCTGCAACTCCGCAGGCTCCAATTCTTCTAAAGGGGATGTATCGATGGGCATGATCTCTCCGTCCTCATTCCACATCAGCTCTTCATGGTTGGGTTTCACGAAGCGCGCAATCCATGTCCAAAAATTGCTCTTCTCAGCGCTAACAGAGGTGGAGAATGTGTTCTGGATCGCAAGGTTTGTGCTTGTGACCTTGACTATCTCATCACCGATCGCCATAGGACCACTTCCTTTTACCTTCCAGAAGGCACAGACTTCGCTTAACCTCCACACTTGAGAAGACGGTTTTGTCACCCAAATTACTTCGGACTTTTGCTCCACAGCCTGCCTGGACAAAAGAAGCAGATGACGGACCACCTTGAGGTACTTTCTCACCCTAGCAGCATCCTTGTCCACCAACTGAGAGGCATTCAAGCTTTCATCCGGGCCACGAGGTACATTGCACACCACCCATCGCGGACTCAGTGCACGCAGTCGTTCCGCTGCCTCCAGGAACCCACGATGAGTCCCTAGATCGCATCTCTCTCGAAAACCCAATGTCCCATGGCTGAGGCCAGCTTCTTCCAAGCCATGGGCCACCCTGTCAGGATGTATCCAAGGATCACAAAGGAGCATCACATCCATACGACTTTCTGGGGGGTAGGCGATCTGGATCTCCTCCAAAGCATCAAGGGCATTGTGGAAGGGCTTGAGGACCTCCTCTTGCTCTTGGGTGGTAAGCACGAATTCTTCCTCCCGTTCTGGTTCATCTTCTCCCGAAGCCACAAGGATTTCTGTTCCGCGGCCACAGTCTTTCGGAATGATGAACCCTGACTTGCTCAGCAATTTTCTCTCATCCTCAGACATAGACACGGCACCCTTGGCCGTGAAAGCCGTGACCACTATCCTCTGTCCACTCCAAGGAAGCGTGACGTGATATCTCCTGGGGGAGAATTGAAGGGGGCGATGTCTCGTGCTCAGCGCCACTCCTGGAACCCGTGTTCCATTTGGCTTGTTCTTCCATGTCAGCGGTTCTCCAGGGTCTGGATCTTCCTCTCTTAGCTCCAGCCATATTCCTCCTTTCTCGAAGTTGCCATAGGAGCAGGTGAAGTTGTCGGATTCCACCAGGTTGTTCACATCCATGTGCATGTTGGATTTCATGTTGTTTGTGATGCATACAGACGTCCATTCTGGAATCATGTTGGGGAACCACTTGGCGACGCACGCGTTCACGTACTGGCATAGGTGAGGGTATTGTGTGGTCGCCTTGGTTGTTCCCTTCATCGGTCCATGTGCATACATGCCAAAGAGAAGGTTGAAGGAGTCTCTCTTCACTTCTTGCCAAACCCCACGGTGTGAAGCATGTTGCGCGGGAACGATGGTCCGGAGCACCATATCCAAGGCTTCATGGTCATAGCGTCCAAGCCGACTCATCTCCCCCGCCAGGGTTTCCACAGCTGCTCCATTGATCAGACTCACATGTAGCACTTGGTCCGGGTCGATCAAGCTCTGTTCTCGTACTCCAAGTTCTCCGAACCGATCTCGTTCGGACGAGAGGCTTTTCGACCAGGACGCTGACTCATCTCGTCGGCCGTGTCTGGAACAACCACCACTGAACCCTGGCTTGTCAAGGGAGACGTCTCGGTCTGGGATGACTCTGGACCTGTCTCTCCACCGTGTTTGGGTCGAGCCGTCTCTTTCGGACGGGCTCTCCCTCATTCTCCTCAGCTGTTCCACACGTCGGAGAGCAGAGTTCTCGGCGGCCATCAAGCTGATCTCCCTGCTGCTGGGATAAGATGACGTGGCTGGATCCAGATCTCGAAGAGCTTCTTGTACATCGGCTGCAAGAGGAGCCGACTTTCGGTGCATCCCATGTTGGCCTTGACGAGGTACGTATGTCAGCCTCATCTTGCACTTCTCGCACGCAGCACACTGGTTGGATCCGGTTGGAGACCCTTTGTACGCCTTTGCTGGGAGATGATTCCCATAACACGGCGGGCCCGTGCACCGGGGATCCCTGGGATCGGGGCCTTCCCCTCTCTCCACCTCGAGGGGTGGAGCAGCTTCCCCTTTCTTTGCCTTGGACTTCTGCTTGGGCGCTGACTTCGGCGCGGCGGCTCCCGAGGTCGGTATAGTCGCCGAATCTCCCGGAGTCACAGAGGTCGAGGTTTGCGCCATGCAGGGCAGCGAACGCGAGGAAGGGAATCAACGTTCTCATTGAGGACCCTCGCTGTGAGCTGATGCGCTGAGGTCGTTTCCCTTCTTGTTTTCCATGACATGCATGTAGAACGCAGGAATCTTCGTCAGGAGCTTCATCTGCACATTCTCTCGCAACACAACATGACTCAAACCCTTGTTCTGCAGATGTCCTATCGGGCATGAAAGAAGGATTTGGAACGTCACACTCAGCAGTCATGAAAATCGCATTCACCTCATTTTCTTCCGAGTCGGCACACAAGATCGGCGGGTTCATGGTGAGCTCGGAGCTAGTTCTGTCCAGGCGAATGCCCTGTGAGAGCCAGTCCTGCGTCAAGTTCAGCAGCAAATGTCCAGATCGGCTACGCCTAAGACCAATTGCCAGGCCGGGATCCACCGCAGCGAAGACCACCATGCACCGTGAAAAGTCAATCACGGCCTTCAGTCTCTTGAGCGTCTTCATCCCGAGGAGGATTGGCACGCCCACCACGTCGAGGGTGTACATGCCTAAACGAACACGCGTGTCCCCGAGGACCTGTTCCAGGAGTACGTAGGATGACGCAAAGGCATGCTCTCCGTTTCCGAATTTGAATCTCTTCACCGGCTCCTGGGTGACCTCGAGGTTGAGGTCTTCGCCAGAACAGGCTTGTCGCAGCTGGACCAATGCCTCTAACGCAGGGAGACTGGTCACCGTCTCCGTTGCTCCACTGTCGATGACGGCATACCCAGCCAATTCCGACTCAGGAACTACATCTCCACCACTTGGCTCATTTCCGAAGCACTCGCCTTCTGGCAGGATCTCCTCAACGGCGAAGACCATGCCATCCACGAAGTTCACCTGGCCGCCCTTCTTGCCCTGCCTGCCCTTCGAAGAGGATCTTTTTGGACAGCTTCGGAAGTCATGGCCTTTGTCTCCGCAGATGAAACATCCAGTGTAGGCTGCATCACCAACGGCGGCACCGAGAAAGCCCTCGGTGACAAAGCTTGAAGCAGGAGATGATTTTCCCTTGCTCTTGCCTTTTCCTTTCTTCCCTTTCGGTCCACTGCCCTTGGAGTGGGGCGCAAAGGGGTAGAACCCTCTGCTGAGGTTTCGGGCCGGAACTGCCTGTCGGGCCTGCATGAAATTCCGCATCTTGGATTCGGCTACGGCAAAGGCTTCATCGACTTCCTTCTGTTCATCAGGGCTGAGGTCCGATAGGGCTGGCTCTTCATTCCACCAGGCGTCTTCTCCCCAGGGATCTCCACCTTCTCCTGAGGACCACCAGGAAGAGGACCACTGATCCGCCTCCTGCCAACCATCTCCAGAGGACCATAATGCTGAACTCTCTTGACAGGCTTGCGCTGGCAGGCGATCTCCAACGAAGAAAGTCTCGGCATTCTCCAAGGCGTCTTCCAGCTCGGTCGAGTCACTCATCACAAGTGACCACTGTCCAGCTTCCTCGACCCAGAAGTTGCGACGCCTTCCATGGTCTCGGCTTCCTTTCCCTTGGTGGTCAGGAACGATGAGCTCTTCCTCCATTCCACGAAGTGCTTTCTCAATCGCCTCCAACCGGAGACTATTTCCAGCCGCCGCTTGCACAGAAAGACGCTGTTGACTGGTCAAGCCTGCGCGTCGTAGCATGAGCCATCCCAAGACCTCAGATGGCAAGACTTCGGGCAAATGCTCTTCTTGAGCGTCCCACATTTGGATATCTTCAAGAGCACGAATGGAATCGTCACTGTCGGATTCTTTTCGGCCACGCCTTCTTCGCCATGACCCACCATCTTCTTTTAGCTCAGGTTCATCGTCGCGGGGTTCCTCGGGCATTTCAGTCTCTCTGTCATCATCATCTTCAGCGTGGGGCTCTGTCTCGGTCTCCATGCTGGCTCTCCTTGTCGGTGACGACGGTGCTGACGGACTTGAGGACGTCTGGGCAGTCGGCCGCTCTTCTTCTCCCTTCGCCTTCCTCACTCTTGACAAAGCAATCTGGAGATGGCGATACTGTAGGCGTACTTGGGCCGCCCAGGTTGCCATTGATTGGGTGGGGAGCCTTCTCATCCGAAGCATCAAGGATTCCAATCTGACTCCAATGTCCGGCACCGGCAGGCGGCCTAAGGTGTCCTTCAGGTAGGTCAGCAAGTAGATCACCCCATCTCGGCGGCAAAGCTGACGATGGCTCAAATCGCCAGTAATGGCCCAGGCTCGGCCCGTCAGCTCGCTGACTATTTTTGGCGCAAGGAGGTGTCTCCTCTTTCGAGGAGTCTGTTCAAAGGCCAACCTCACTCTGCGACAGAAATCGTTCCATCCACTGGCCTCGCCATCCCAAGAACATCGCAATGAGGAATATTCTTTGTGATCTGCCATCTTCCGGATGAAGGTCACCAGGCTCTAGTCCAAAATGTCGAAGATGGTCTTGTCGGAGCACCGGCTCCGCCGCCTCGTAGAACAGCAAGTAGGTGTGGCCACCCTTGGGGAATTCGTCGTCAGGAGCCCTCACGACCGAGTCACCCAAAGGACCTCCCTGGACTGGTAGCAGCTCCGCTACCAATCTCAAGGAGTCCCGGGCACTCTCACCAAAAATGCAAATGTCCTCCACGTCGCGCACAGTCCTCTTTTCCTTCGGCTGCCGTCTCGGCTGCACTCGTAGAGTTCCCGGACTCGCAGAAGATGCCTTCGGCAATGGCTCAGTCCCTATGGGTCTGCTATGCTCACGTAGCGGGACCGGGCGAATTTCAAGCCTCATGTGCTTGCACCAGACATGCTCTGCTGGCACATCGAGTACATGACATGCTTGGGAAATGAAGTCCAACTCATGATTTGGAACCTTCCTTGACACATGCCGCGTTTTGGCCAAGTTTCTGGCAAGAGCTTCGCGCTTCTCTTCAGGGAGGGCTTCCCACTGCTCCTCGCACAGGGCAACGCCCAAAGCCAATCTTGCCCAGTGCATCCTATTATATAAGTGCTGGGAGTAGACGTGTTACATTGTGTTACAAGGTTCGAAATCAAGCACCTGAGGCTGCACTCACCATTGCGCCAGTGTGAGATCATTTGGATGTTGGGATGCGCTCTTCAATGGTTGCGCGAAGATCAAGCTTCTCATGACAGCCTTCAGCTCATCGGGTACCGACAAGCCATCGCGGGAGCTTCTGGCAGGGCTTGCGAGACAGTGCAGAGTGGTAGCTGTGTCATCGATTGTCTGTCTTGTGAGCAGTATGGCAAGCTGTCTGCCTGAACCAAAGGTAGGCACCGCCAGCGCCCAGCACAAATGGAATGGCAACACCTCCAAAAGCAGCTCGTGCACTTGCCGGATGCAATGGATGGCGTAAGATGAAACAAGATGAAACGAGCTGTGCTTCCTACCCACAAGCACACACAGGCCAATTTGCTGGGCAGACCTTGTCAGTGATCGCAATCGAAACAAACGGGCTTTACGAGATCCTGCAGCATTCCTAGAATCCCTCCTCCTCTTCAACCCATGCATCTTGGCAGTTCGGGCTGTGGCCACGAACCCTCCAATTTGTTGCACCGGAAAACTCTGTCGCTCGCTGCTGCCTTCGGTTGGGCCTTCGCCTTCGAAATCGCATTTCAGTAATTCATGCCCCTGTAAAAAGAGCAGAATCGTCCTTGGTGTCTGGAGGAGGAAGGCTCTGTGGATGTGAGCCACGTGAGAGCCATGGGTACATGCGCCCAGGGCGGTTCCATATCGCATGGCGAGTCGTAATGAGACTTGAAAGGTCGGTCAGATTTCTGGAAAGGATTGGCTTGGGAGTAGGCTGGGCATGGCTGGTTGCTAGGGCTCTGGTGGCATATGGCATGTGCTCCTGCGCGGCACGAAGTTATACGAAGTTCTCTACGTCCCCATTAAGCAGCACTCACTGGGCAGAGTAAAATGAAGAGGATTGTTTATCTCAAACGGAGCTGTCATGCGGCACCTGCCCCAGAAACTCCCAGCAACACGTTGATCACCAGGAACACCGTCGCTGCCTAGTAGCGCCAGATGATGAGGGGCTTTGTGCATGCACACGCACTCAGCCGCACCCAAACGCACGCATGCACGCAACCCACCCACACACACACACACAGCAAGGGCATGGAAGAGAGACGGCGAGAGAGATACAGACAAACAAACACACCAAGGCTAGCACACGCTGAATGGGTCTATATGAAGTTGTTCGGAAGTGCAAAATTCACTTGAACATAGCTTGCTACTTCCGCAAAAACCCGTGCATTGTTTACGCATCGCTCGCGTTCCTCGAGACAAACGTCGTTCCGCAGGTCTACCGCTTACGATGGCATCCATCAGGGTTAGCTTGAAGATGCAGGCCTTCTGTCAGTGCATTGTAGTGCTGTTTAGCTTGAAGATGGGGACTGTCATGCACTGTCTACAAATTCCTGCAGTGAAATTGCGACATGTACGTTTTCCGTGGACAGACTGCCTCTGGTGGTCTGTTGAGGTTGGCCAGAACCACATCCCGCTCCGGAAAAACTGGGGCCACTTGCATGAAACATCATCTGTGCACCTGCCCTGCTTCCTTACCCTGTAAGCTCACAAACCCGAAGTCCAGGACACCCTTCCTGGGGCTTGGATTGCCCATCTTTGCTGCGTTGAGAGTTATCGCCGTTATTGCATTCTGTCCAGATGCCACCGTCTGCAGCAGCTGTGCTTGCATGGAGTCCTGGCGGAGGGCAGGTCTGGATTCTGTATGCCAGCACCGGGCATGGCAGACACGACCGCGCCTCCGAGTCCACGACGAGCGCCGGGGGCTCCTCATAGATTCTCTCACCCGCTCGGAAGGGCCGACTTGCCACGACGCCATAGCCCTGAGACCAAGCCGCTGCGAAGCTGGCTGCAAGGCTGCTAGGGCTGAGGAGAAGAGAGAGACGAGAAGCAAGAGCACTGGCCTTGCCCTCCATGGGCACCACCTTGAAACCATTGGGGGCAAACGCTTGAAGCCATGGTCCTCAGATGCAAGCAACATCAAGGAAAAGCTGATAGACTATGCTCAGCCCTACCCTTCAAGAGTGCGAAACATTTGTGAAACACAGGGCTGCCCGTCTGTAGGTCTTGCTTGACCATCGTCCCAGTCTGCTTGCCATTGTGTCCAGGCAAGCCGCTGTATGGTAGTATGATCCCTTGTTGGGATTACTACTATGGTATGGAGCCTCATGTTTGGGTTCATTACCAAGTTAACAAATGGCCTAAGAGTAGAGAACGGCCCCGGCACATTAGCAGATCAGCATGCCATGTGAGCGGCGACACGCTGACACAAAGGTCGCCACAGCCACAATCAACCACACGCCATGGCTGCGTCGTGGCATGTTGTCGTGGAGGGGTACTGCCAGAAATGTTTTGGTAAGTTCATCTGGTGAACATCCAGGTCTGCAATCCTATAGACGGGGAGAAGACTGTTCAATCATGTCCGTACAAGAGTTACAAGAGCACAACACCACAGCACATGGAAGCTGCGGCGGCGGTTTTAAAATCACCAACAACCCTCCCCGCACCCCCAAAACAATCCCGAAGTTCATTTATCGAGGGCGAACTCTATCCCCTGCTTTGGACACTTTCCAGCCTTGAGCGGTCTCTCTTTGCGCCAAAACACCAGAAATGCCATCGGTTCTTAAACATTCGATGGCGGACACCTGATGAAAGTTTCGTCAGCTGCTCCCTCAGAACCCCTCCAACAACCCTCTAAACCTCTAAACCCCCGCCTACGAATTGTCGGCGGAATGCGACTCGCAGCGTCGAAAGCAAGGATTCGGCGGATCCTGGTTCGAAGGTTGCATGGCTGGGCTACTTCTTTAAGGTCTATTCCCGCCTTGTGATTCAGGAGGCTTCAATTATGCTGAAGACGTTGGGCGGCCTGTAATTCTTAGAAACATTCCCAGAAAATCCAGAAAGAGTTGCATTTATGTAGCGTTTTTGCGGTGAATGGGTTGCGAAGAGTAGAGATAAGATGGAGACAGGTAAACAGAGAGAGAGTGAGAGGAGAAAAAAGAGAAACGTTGAAGAACAACAGAGAAACAATGGAGCAAACATAGAGAGACAAACAGCGCGCTGTAATTTCGCTGACATGTCGCTATGTCTTCGCTAGTTTTTCGCTATCCCCCTAGGACATGGCCAAAAAAGCTGCGAAACAATTACCTCGAAATCCCGCCTGCCCCCCCCCCTCCCCCCCCGGCACCCCCGCAAGAACAAAGACAACCCAGGAACGGAAAAATAAAAACAACAAAGACTGAGAAAACCTAGTCCGTTCGCACAAGAACTCGCTGAACAAATGCAAATCTTTGCCTTGCGCGTGTCCCAGTAATTACAAGGCACGCACCTCGTAAAAATAGACCCTAGCATCAGCAAGCCAGGGATCAACGTGCATCACCATGCATTACCCATCCCAGGCCCTTGTGACTGAAATCCCGCCTGGCAGAAGAAGCAAAAGAGCTGGTGCAAAGCATAGCGGAGAGCCTGTCAGAAAAGGTCGAGGTGCAAAAGCTGGGGGGGTGGGTGGGGTCGGTGGGGTGAGGGGTGGCGAGGGCGGGACAAGTGCAACCACATGCATGGTGAGAGCATCTGTGCCTTCTATCAGGCGTCCCCGTGCAGGCTGATCACCTCGGTGCTGCAAATCAAAGACGATGTGTGTTGTCCTGTGCCATTCACCAGCTTCATGATCTCCCTGGCAAGCTGGACTGCAGATTTTCACCCGCCGAGAAAGATGCGCGGTGTCGCGTGTCTTCCATAAGCTGAAAGAAAAAAACAACTCATCGGCCCAGGAACAAAGAAAAACATTTAAGGGTTGGAGGAGTGCCGTTCTCATGCTTTTGGGCATGAATGAGATTTCCTTCCATTGCAAGACTCTGCAGCAGCTTCTGGACCTTAAGGGAAGGCTTCTCCCATTCTTTTTCAATGTCAAACACTTGCAGGTGAAACTGTTCCAGCAGCATCAGAAGTCTACTGTAGACACCCCGTACGCTGCTTGCCGGTGGCATCACAAACCCGATGGGAACGCATCGTTGTCAAGTGCAGCCTCTCAAGTCTCACGCTACGATGTTTACAAGCAGCACCAGACTGTGAGCACAAGTATAGGGAAGTATCCTGCCCGGCTGGTAGGATGCATCAGTTGTGCCCTCCTGTCTTCCCTGTCGGAGCGGCGCTGAGAGAAGCTGAGAAATTCTGATAGTTCAGGGTGTACTACAAAGATCGCGGGTTCATGGCAGACCTCACAGCCCCAGAGCCTGGAGCCTATTTGAGACTTTCAGATAAATTCGGAGATCCCTTCAAGGGGGGTCGTGGACGCGCTCAAGACTAGTTTGAAGCCGTGGGCGCAAAGCGGGCGTCCCAACTCCCGACATCTGACTCCAACTGACTCCGGCCTGCTTAGAAGAATTGCAGAGATCCAGAGGCCTTAGAGCAAGAATCCAACATTCGAGTGAAGCAATTCCTCAACTGGTGCACAGAGGGCGTGAATACTGCGTATGCACGAGGTTGGGGCGCGCTTTAGCGGTTTTCACCCCTGCTTACATGGAAGCATGACGATGTGTGACAAGACGCATATGGGGAAAACAGGACGCTGTCAAAGTTCGGCTCAGCGGGTGTGAGGTCAGCAATCCCGTCATCGTCCTCCTCCTGGTAGGAATACGACTCAGATGCCACACAAAACAGACACACACACACACACAGAGACACAGAGAGCACAGTGTCTGCCCTGTGTCCAAAACAAACCCTAAACCTAAACTGCTAACCTGTCTGTCGGGCTGTCCAGTTCAGCCACCGATAACCAACATGCCCCAGGCAGGGTTGGCATGTGTTTGAGGCACCATTCCGTGAATCCAAGGCTTGCAAGGCAAACGCGCGATCCTGGAAGATCTGTAAACTCAAAAACATCCCCACACTTCAAGCTTCCAACCCCCCCCCCACCCCCCCACGTGTGGGAATATCGCACGCGTGGTTCGACACTGGGGTTGCCTGCCTGCACGCCAATCACGGTTTAAGGTTTAGGGTTTAGGGATCGGGGTCAGGTCGTACAAAAGTGGCTTTGAGTGGAGCGGAGCAAAACCCTAAACCCTGAACCCTGAACCCAATTAAAGGCCAACATGTCCTCCTCAGGATCCTCGGGATCCTCTACGGCTGCTGGCCTCAGCTACTGCGCGGCCGGAAGATGCCCAAGGAATGCCCCAGGATGCCACACGTCAAGGAAAGGGTTTCCAAAGTTTAGGGTTTTAGGGTTTATAGAAAAAAGTCTAAAGGGTATAAGGGTCTACAAAGTTTAGGGTTGAGGATTTATAGTATATAGTCCATAGGGTATTTTGGGTTTGGCTCAGCAGCGCAGGTTCTTCCCTGGACTTCTTCTTCCTCCTGGCTCCAGAGTTCGGACACAATGACGCCAGCAGAAGGTTTTTTGGGGTCGGTGCCGATGAAGCCCTCGAGATCCCTCAAGCGATTTGAAGGGATCTTGGTGAGGGGATCTATAGAACTGCCTGCATTCCGCAAGGGTTTGCACAAGGAATCTGATTTCCATGTTAGACAAAGCGAGCCAAGTCATCAGAAAGCAAGATGAAGCAATACAGCCGTCGTTGGGCACGCTTGCATGAAGCTCTGTTGACCTAGCCAACTAGATACAAATTGCAGCTACAGCTGAGTACGGCTGCTTAACAAAGAAAGTAGTTTAAGCAGAGCTGTCCTACGTAGTGAGACCTGTCTGACTTCAAGAAGTGACAAGCCAAAGGTAGCCAGGACATCGAAAGCTCATCAGGAGATGCCTCTTCTTTCTTTTCTTCTTCCTCTTCCACGACTTCGACTTCGGAATAAGCAGTCCTCAGATCATGGCTACGAGAACCTAAGAGAGCAAAAAGGACACACATCCTGTCCAGCGCTTGGCATTGGAGCTGGGTGCAGCATGGACACCAGGTATGAAACAGTCTAATCTTTCGATCTCGGCCTTCAAAGACCTGAGAGACTTCGCATCGCAGTATCGAAGTCCATTTGTGTCTGCTTGGCTTATCAAACCTGCTTCCAGCTCTGGTCTTGTCAGCTGAAAGCATCGGCCTGCGGCCGCGCTCTGCAAGGTCCTGCTGCACTCGCACCAGTTGTAGGCATGGGTGATGCATCTGTTTCGAACCCTTGTCGTGCAGCCATCATTCAGATCCAGTGGGCATGCAAGTTTAGACTCGGGGTCTATGACCGAACCTTAAACCTTAAACTACTCTGGCTCCTAACAATCTACGTCAATGTCGGGGGGGGGGGGGGAAGGGGGTTGTCGCATGCAGAACCGACCCTTCTGTTCCAAGTCCATGTCGCAGTGCGGGGGGGGAGGGGGATGCCGCCGTATTTGCACGCGGCCAGATGTGGATTGCACAGTTGGCGCAAGATGGTGCAAGCAGTATCTGCAGGTAAAGCGAGGTAAAGAACGAGATGCGGGCGGAACTGCATTCGATGTGTCTGTTTCGCAGGCGCCTTCTCCAAACGCTGCAGGAAGCTCTGCAACCTGACCTCGCGCTCCTCCTGGCTCATCACATCTCAGTCTCATGCAGTGGGGGGTAAACATGGGTAAACTCTGAACATCTTGGATCTGTGGGCTTCGTGGAGTCCTTGGGCATCGAAGGTGTCCGCTCCACATGTTGTGGCTCCGAAGGCTTAACAGTGCCAGTCTTGCCTGAGACAAGCATTGGCTATGTTTGTACTGCAGCTAGTGCTGTGGGTACCGGAAAATAAAAGGTGCACAGCAAATGAAGACACATTCTCGCGCCACGCAGCTCTCCCTGTCGAAGGGGCTGTCGCAGAGACGGCGGCCTAAAGCTTAACCGTAACAAGCTGAAAAGCCAGAATCGTATGTCGCATGGCTATGGCTGCTGTCGTCTCGCACCAACTGCGTCTCCGGCCTTCTTGCACGGCCTGATTCAACAGATCCCGGCTTTTCTGGCTCCTTTCACAACACACAAGCGCCACGGCTACGTTCCGGGGAGCTCGGGAGGAGGAAGGCTTCACAGGGATCTCCCCTCAAACTCCAAAAGGGCGGGTAAAAAAGACTACCACGACTTGTTCGATGCGTGCCGTCTGTTTGGAAGGTTCGCCTGACATGCTGGGCATTCTGGTGCTTGTAGATTGTATCTCGATGCTACACACAGCATATACACATATGTTGGTTTATTCATATTCATATTTGCATTTTATTTGCATTTAATAAATGCCTTTGCAACATATTGTAGCATATTTTTATAACCGTATACATGTAATCAAAAAAGACAAACAATTCTGTACAAATGAAAAATTATCGAAATATAAATAAATAAATATATATACATACACACACTTATATATAATCATATTCTTCACTGTTGCGGCCCAGGCTTCATCTGGACTGCCAGGCGCTGGCGCTCCAGGCGTCGACGCTCGGCCACCCAGTACGGCTCGCTGCCAAGGGACCGGACGTACTGCGAGTAGGACCTAATGAATATAATCTTTTATTAATGTTGTTCTTAATTAAGTATACTATTATAATCAATCTTTTTTGAGAGAACTCGGTGAGACATCCTAGGGTGCCTGAAGATGGAGCGACTTGCTTTCTAGAAGGGTGAACCCTACTAAGTATTACTAGTACCAGGGCGAAGCCCTTCACAGCCCAAGAGACGGAGCCCTCCCACGCCGATCCGCCAGGTTCGCGTCCAGAGGAGCGCCACCAGATTTCTGAAAAATACACCTGCGCTGCGCGCTCCCCGGCTGATCAGTTTGCAAGTCCGACACTTCGAAGACGGGCGGTATGTACATATCTGTACTTTTCTCTACTCTTTTCTCTGTACTTTATACTCCATGCTCTATACTCTAGACTTTATAGTCTATACTCTATTGTCCATACTCTATACTCTACACTCTACACTCTGCTCTGTACTCTATGCTCTATGCTCTATGCTCATACTCTATATTCTAAACACTCTCTATACTCTATACCCCACTATATTACTATATGCGGTCGGCGAAAAATCTGACTCTGCCTCACATCGCCCAGGCCAATCTCGTGAGCCCGGTAATCCACCTCCATGAGGCCGTGCTTGTCACAGAAGCCATTGGGCAGATGGTCCTCTGAATCTTCTTTCAGGGAGGCTCGGCCGGAACAATTGCTATTGGTAGTCCGTTATGGGCCCTATTTTCATAGACCATAAGAACCCCCCAAAACCGTACCCTAATTCTTAAAGCCCATCCCTGACTTGAAGACTTACGCAAGAAAAGCACACGGAGCACATGCACAAGCCGCAGGAGGATCCCTCTCGACATCCTTGCCTTGCCACCAATGACCAGGAAGCCTCCCGGGCGAAGCCTGACACCAAATACCACAAAAACAATCACTGACTGTTCATGCGGGAATCTCTCAATCTTGAACGGGCCAATTGAGTAAACTTACGTAGCCTCGAACATCCTAATCCAGGTTGGATATGGGACTTATCAATTCCCTAAGCTGTGGAGCAGTTGTAGGAAAGTTGTAAGGTGCAAACTCCGTAGTGTTGGTTAAGTTGAGTTAGTGGTGGCTTGGGTGTTTGGCATGGTGGCCTGGTAGTCGCTGCCTGGAGGGGGGGGTGCGGGTAGAGAGGAGACACGGATACTCAGATGTGCGCGGATGAATGTATATAAATATATATACATGTGCTAGTGGTTGTGTTCTCAACCCTGTTCTTGCCTATGCTTGCACAAGTTTGCATGGTCCCAAACCCACCCGTTCAACTCCGCCGCCGCTTAATAAGGAGTGGTCACGAGATCTTCCCCCGCCTCTCCACCATCTGCACCAGTACTTGTGACCGCTGATCTCCTGGTAGATATAGGCAAACCTCAGTCACGCAAAGCTGAAGGTGATGTAAGTCAAATATGGCTAGACGGCTGCTCCAGTTCTAGTGCAACTACAATATTTAACATCACCCAAAAGCTGACTAAGTGGATCTCCGGAAACAGGAGGACCACTTCAGATCTAGCAAAATCCACACAACTTCCTGCAAGTGGGCAGCGGCGTATCTTGACAGGATCACATCGAACGGACCCTCAGGCATTTCTGCGGTTACGTCCTCTGACAGTTGGAGACAATTGCCCCTGCATGCCCCTGTCAGACTTCCCCGTCTATGTCCATTCATGTGGGCATCTTGCAAATTCGAGCGTGGCGCCGTAGACTGTAGAACCACGCAGTCTGCACTCAACAGACAATCGTCCAAGCAAGAGCTGGTTGGCATGTGGAATGTTGCGGCATGTCCTGACACAGGAACTCCACGTCCCTGCGTACTCCTCTGAGTCACAGCAGTTTTCATTGGCATATATGATATATAATGATACAGGAACAGGACAAAGATGCGTTTCTGGCATGACCGCACACCGCTGCAAGCAGTAAGTCTCTGCCACACCTGCCCCTCTGAGGCATGAAAACCATGAACTCTCACACAGTCTGACGAGTCTGAGTTTCCGGCCATTGTCTTTGACTCTGTACAAGGCCTCGGTGCCAGCCTCACGAAATACATCTCAGATGCTCTCATTGACATTCACAAACTTCTGAACTTCACCGCGCTCGATTGAAAATTAGGAGTTGACTTCCGTAATTTGCATTTTGCTTTGAGTTGTGCTTGGCGCACTAGAGTGACAGCACGGGTGCTGCGTAGCGTATGGACACACCGCCTGCCACTGGTAACATATCACGGAATCATGGACCCTAAACCCTAAACCTCAGAAACGAAACCCCAAACCCCAAACCCTAAACCCCAAACCCAAAAAAAACCCTAAACCACGTGACAGCGAGCCGATCGGCTCCTTGCCTGGCTGGCGAAGGTACGGGCGGCTTGGAGCCGCGCCGCAGCGCGAGGGCGAAGCCCTGAAGCCGGTTTAGGGTTTAGGGTTTAGGGTTGAGGGTTGAGGGTTGAGGGTTGAGGGTTTAGGGTCTCTGCGTATCCTAGAGTGAAATTTCGCTGAATGTAGTTACGTTATTATATTCGCTTCATTATATTTGTATTGGCTATACTAGAGCTACATTGGCTATATGATAGTGATGGCTATATGGCCGTTGAAGTTATATTGCAGCTGTATTCTAGTTTCGGTATAGTTCTACTACAGTTATGTTGCAGTTCTGGTATAGTTGCACTAAAGGCATACTATAGTTATATTCTAGCCATGATACTACAGATATTGAGGGTTAAGCTAGATGTATAGTATATACATATGTTATACTTACATTAGCAGTACTATAGTTTCATTCTAGTGATAGTATAGTTATATGATGTTGTAGTCGAGCTATATTGCAGTTCTATAGCGAAGTAGTTAAAGTTGCGTTCTAGTCATGTTCTAGTTCTATTTGAGCTATAGTAGCTTAGTAGTACAGTATATTATCAACATACTCTTGTGACACTATAACATGGCTAAAAACGCGCTCTAGATCCTTGCCGAGTCATCACTTATTCGTGGTGCTCAGAACGGTAGAAGTACCAATACGCGTGCGTAGCCTACTGCACTAAACGCCGTATTTTAGAGGGTGGCCACTTCCGATTCCCTCATTGACGCTGGTCAGTTGGTGTGGTGGTTTGAGCAACATTCAGCACCAGTGTGTGGCCTCGAGGCCAGGAATTGGCGGGAGAATCCTGCATTGTCAAGATGTGACTAAGAAAAGCTACTAAGAAGGTCCCCTGCAAATTCTGAATGTCAGCCATGAGACGACTGAGCTGCATGTTAGTTTTCCAGCATCCCATGCGAACCAAACAACGCAACGCAATGATTTCGGACAAGCATCGAAGAACTGCTCCTGAGATGTTGAGCAACTATTCAACCCTCATGGTGCTGCGGACGTGAAGTTGCATTCCACCATCGCAGTCCCTGCGCAGCTTATCATCCGAATGCCCCAAATCAAGCAAGGTTGGTGGGCTCGGACTTTTCTTGCCAGCCCTGTTCATACCAAGACTCGCACCACTCCGGAGGCAAATCCTGGCGGGAAAGGATCCCCAACAGGAAGTCACTGAGACATGCGGCGAGTGCACAACCAGGCCTTCAGTGACTACTCTAAACCCTAAACCCTCAGCCCTAAACCCTAAACCCTAAGACCCTAAAACCCTAAATCCCTAAAACCCAGGCCTTCAGTGAGTACCAGGGATACTCCCCTTTCCGGGCAGTCAAGATCTTCTGCTCGGAGAGGTCGGTGCCCAACAGCTGCAGTCCTCACCCGGTTTTGGTGCGAAGCACCCGTACTCTTATTCCCCTATACAAACCCTGAATATATGTGTATATATGTGCAGATATATATATATATATGTACATATGCATATGTATATATATATATATACATTCCCTATATACCTAAGTAGCCCGCAAATGACCCCTAAGGTCCCGTATCAGGGTCCCTTTCAGGGAGCTACAGTGCACAAGCACCCAAGCGCCAATCCTGTCTCGGGAAAGATCGCTGCAAGGATCCGATGCCAAATCATGCCTGGTGGTTGCGACTTTTGAGACTGTCTCACAGGTGTGTTAACGTTAAAAAAAAAACCTTTAGGGTTCTCTAAACGTTAAAAAACCCTAAGCACGTTTCTGGGGAACATTTGAGAGTATCTCCATCCCTGGAACCCACGTGGATTGAAGATGAGACTAAAGAAAATTTTGTTCTTTTCAAGCATGGTTTGTACTGAGTGGGCGCAAACTGATGCAGCCAGGACGCTGAGATAATAGATCTCCTTGGCAAACAGGAACCACGATCGTCTGGTTTCAGAAGGCCGGGGACTCTGGAAAGTCAGGATCGCCAACAAAAGCAGACTGATGATCTGATTCGATGGGTACTGCCTTCCCTAAACCCTAAACCCTAAGCCCTAAGCCCTAAGCCCTAAACCCTAAACCCTAAACCCCTTTACACGCACATACCATGCGTTGAGACTGCGAGCTTGCAAGTCCAAGGAGCCTCTCCTGAAGAGCACCCGCAGCTCCAGCAGGAGATTGTAGAGCTGGCTCCTCTGCCCAACATCTATAGCACGACTCTAACAGAACTATATAGCATAACAACTACTGCGCAATATGACTATCATATACCTAAGCCCAGTACCTGCCGAAAAACATGCTCTTTCAATGATTTCCGCACTGCTGTGTGCCCCCTCCCCCCCACCCCCCGCTTCCTTCACCTCGCAGCCCCGCTGCACATTGCGCAGAGGCCCAGAGCGCCACATCGGCCACCGCAATCCAGGCCTTGACTCGAGGAGATGATGTCGGGATGCTCCCCCTTCTACTGACAGTCTCCTGAAGAAGTATTCTAGTACCCCCTTCTAAGGACTGTTTTTTTATAAGGGGGGAGCATCCCAAAGATGATGCCACGTGGCTCGCACGAGGATGCTGCTGCTAGCATACTACTTTGGTGTCGAAACATCAATGCACACGCCAACTTGAACCCCCAGCCCTCGCCCTGGCCCGAGGCCGCTCCCCGTAGGCAACACTTCACACACACACACACACACACACACACACACACACACACACACACACACACACACACACACACACACACACACACACACACACACACACACACACACACACACACACACACACACACACACACACACACACACACACGCGCGCGCGCGCGCACACGCACGTCTACTATTTGCTTAAACACCCCCGTCCAAAACAAATAGTCCCTATGTTGTAAGGAAGGATAGCTTGCATTTGTTGAGAGGTTCTAGTGTAAGCAGCAGACATATTTCCGCAGCGGCAACGACAAGTCTTGAAGGGTATCTATCTCCAAATGAGAGCCGAGCAGCGGATGCATCCCGATTAAACCGGGAGAATCGCTGGAAGGACCTCGAAGAAGTCTGAGAGGAGCTTAAAGGGGCAGGGGCCCACCAGCTCTTGAAAACTCGAAATGAAAATGCAAGACAATAGAACGTGCTGGAACGCTCCAAGTTCATCATGCAGACATCTTTTGCACTCGGAGTCACAGGTTACCAGCTTTGGTGGGCGTGGGCGGCGAAGCAATCTCTCCAACACATGCTTCCATAATCACGGCATTGGAAAAGGAAACGTATGTGTCACAGCCGTTTCTGTCGTGCAAGGACATGGCTGTGCAAAGAAGAAGATGAAGTACTGTGCCTTCGGTTTCGCATTTTCAGCTTGCATACCCACCCTGGCACGCACATGTCCATATCTACCTTTTGAGGAGCCAAAGCAGCCAGCAGAATTGCGAAATGCTCTACGTACAGCGCCCGCGCTAAACTGACCCCCCGTCGTCAGGAAGAACTCTTCGAGAACGCAGAGCAACCCCAAAACCCCAGACTCGGAATTCTAAACCTCAGGGCCGAGGCCCTCAACTTCGACGGGCCTGCCTGTACTAACAAAGTGCTGCAGCTTTAAGGAATCAACGAACTCCAAATAAAAGCCAACATGTGCCCTGTCTCGCTTTTGCTTGTCGACCTTCTCTTTTGTCGCAGGCGCTGCGGGCGCAACCTTTTTTTGGAGCCGCGTTCGCAGGGTCCAAGCCAAGGGAGGCTGCGCAGCCTCCACGTCAAACCCCAACAGCGCCTCAGCCCGACCCAGCGTGGAGGGCTTCCGGGGAAATCCGGAAGCCAGCGTTCGCAACGGACTTGCGCAGCTCATCCTGAGGTTCGCAGCCAGCAACCAGCAACAAACTTTGACAAGATGCCTTCCAATTTTTTTGATAAGTCTTGTCCCAGCCGCGCGCGGCAGTGGCTTGCGCATATCAAAGGCGTCCTGCATGAACAGCGCTTGCGCAAAATGCACAGACAGCTCAGTGATGGAACTCGAGATGACCCCAAGGCTACGGAGTCCCGGAGTCCTCATCGCCGGAATAGTATCCCGTGACCGTTCGATAAACAACGTATCCCAATCCTTCCTGCAGGTCCAGGACACGTGGGGTGTTGCATCCCGAGTCTGAACATTCGGGACTATGACTATGGCCAGTACATGCATGAAGAGATCCGGAAGCTCTGCTATGGCTTGGGGCCTACACTGCCTACACGCCGTCAACCAATCAGTGTCATCCGAGGATCATAGAATTTGATCGCTGCGGTGTTTGTAGGCCGCACGAAGAGGTCAACAAAATAACAGTCGTGCACCTTTTCGCTCACCTGGCATTGCGCGAGTTTTTTCAGGGGAATAGCCCGGCTTGGGCCTTCGAAGTTGCGCAGCAGTTGTGCCTTTTTTTCTGGGCCATGGGCTCAGCAAGCCAACATGGGACTTCAAGATCAAGAGCAGCACAGGGCCTCTTCCAGGTACTCCATTAGGCGGTTGGCCACCTCAGACTCCCAACGCTTGTGATAAGACTTCCATGGCACATCTTGCCAATGAGTCAGCTGACCACGTCTGCCTTCAAATGCCATGTTCAAGCCCAGCATCACCAGTTCGGCGGAACTCTGGTGCGACAGAGATGGCCGATACGTGGCCATGCCACCTCGCCGCACCGTCATCTACTGGCCAGGAGAGCCCAAAAGCCTATACGTCTACAACACCCTTGTCAAACCCTTATAGACCCTTTCAAAAAAAAGAGAAATCCAGGAGACCACCAAGCAGCTCTGGGCCAACACCCTCAACCTTTCCGATGATGTACCCAGCGATTTGGCCATCGGCTTCTGCAACAGCGCAGCATTCCGGCCAGCGCGTCAGGTAGTTGAAGTAGAAGTTCATGTTGAAAGTCTCCGTCCAAGTATCCAGATTCACTGCCTCACGTTTGACTCCAAGCTTGTGTAGCACGTTCGCTATCATGCCCTGGTACCTCTACTATTGATATCTGGTGTGCCTATGCCTGCCTAGGGTTAGATGTTGGATGTGTAGGAAGGCCGCACCGGCCCCCACATGCCCGAAGGTAATAGCTCAGCAACGTTGAAATGAAGCAGGTCTTCAACCATCATGGGGCGAAGACTGGTCATGGCTCCAGCTGTTCTTGATGCTTTGAGCTGCTAGGCATGCTGTGTTACTTGAAGTGATGCATCTGCAATCTGCAAACGAGACCAGAGGGGCCTATCAACAAACCATAGAGACCCCAAAGGATGGGAGTCTGCGGTCTGGGTGCAGGGCGGTGGTGGTAGGGGTCTATCAGTTCTTGGGGGATAGACATGGATAGACCCTGGTTTGTCTACCATAGATGGTACTTGTTCTTATCTAGACCTTACTCATGGCTTGTGGACTGGCAGAATACAAGATCCGGACGCGAAATGACGCGAAGAATACAATGTCGCGCCCAAGTGCTGCTCCGAAGGAAGATAGAGGAAGACAGCCACACCGACCAGGCTTGCGCACGATGCTGCACGCCGTTTTGAACCTGCGCCTCACCTTAAGCAGCGCTCGATGACTCATAGGAATCCGGGGAGCTGTCTCCCGCTGTCCCATTGAGGGAGTCTAGAGTTTAGAGCGAAGCATACCTTTGGCTTCTGCATCTTGTGCATCCTCTATGCCTTGTCATCATCACGCCCTATCGCAGGGGTGTGCGTGGACCTACGTCGCCGCATCTGCCAGCAGATGCACTTACACACAGCATTGCACACCTGCATCTCCACCAAGAGCTGCAATGCTGGCCCACCGCTCCAAGTGGTTCTGCCGGTTTTGCCTAGGCAAAGGAGACACAATCCAATCGTACCTTGCATCAAACTCGTGTGTGTGTGTGTGGAGCCTATTTTCCTTTTCCCATCTTTGATTTTCACTGACCTGTGCGGTGGCTTCACATGGCGAAGCTCTGTAGAAACTGCTTTTCTGTGACTGCCGCATGACATGCAAACCTTGCAGCCCGAGGGTAGGACAGCTGCTGCGCCGCAGTTGCTTATCGTCCTTGCCAAAGCTGGCGCTGTCCACACGAGTAGGACATGCTCGAGTTTCCCCTGGCTGATTGAGGACTTGCACCCGCAACGACAGAATATGGAAGCACTGTCTATCAGGAGGCATTGTCGATTGTCGATTAGCAGTGCTTCCTTCCGAAGGTCAGGACATGTCAGGACAACTTGACCCTACACTTTCCGACGGCGAAGATGAGGCGTCAAGCCCACACCAGCTCTCTGACAGGTGTCGGGATCTTTGGATTTAGGAATTTGGGAGCTTACTAGTTCTGGCATTCGTCACCATTTACAGCCGGGCTTGGATGCGCTTGACAACCGGGGGGGGCACGCGCTTGCGGCAAATTTGAGGCCAGCATTTAAAAATTGTTATACGCTCAGATTGCCGGCCTGCGGCCAGCAACTTTCTCGTGATCGCCGGCGGCGCGGTTGCGCATTCTCGCGGCAGCCTGGATACGAGTTGAGGTAAGCACAAGAGCGCTGCCATGCCGAGTATACCGTCTGGCTCTGACACGGTGAAAACGACAAGCCTGCAAGCACATTGTTGAAAACCGTCGCCGTACACCATTGTTCGCAAGCCGGTGACTTCTACACGCTGCGCGCTTTCAACTTTCTGCGAAGATCTGCACAAACAGCCAAACAGCCGCACACATTGACCCTGAGCATCACCTGTGCTTGGGAGCTTAGGAGGTTGGGCAGCCTGCACATCTTGGAGGTTTCAGGTCACTCTGTGCCATAGTCTCCGGCCTCATCCGTTTTCTCTCCGACGATCATCCTCTCAGAAATAACTCTACAGCAGCATAGCCTGCAGAAGAGCATTGACTGAGAGGAAGCGTTACTCAGTCCTGGACAACGGTGGCACGCCATGTAGTTCCTCTTCCCAGACGCAGCACACGGCCCTTGAAGCACTTGAAGCACCTCATCTCTGATTAGGTCTTCTTTACACGAAGATGCAAGCCAAGCCAAAGGCAGCATGCAGCAAATTGTAGCTAACCCCTCAATTTCATGGCTCGATATCTCGTCTTCAGCATGTGTGCACGGCGTTACATGCAAAGGATTGTCAAACCAGTTTTCGTGTGAAAGCCCTCTGCAGCTGGAAACATGTGAACGCAAGCAAACGAGCTCCTGCGTCTGAACACACAAGGTGCCGACATTGCACATCTGCTTTCGTCCTTCAATCTTCACCGTCACAACATTCAAAACCATTGAAGTGGCACCGAGGAGCCGCCGCGGAGATGTCCGGCACCGCTGGGCAATCATCTGTGCCAAGAAAAACTTCTCGGGTCAGGAGTCCTTGCAAAGTCATAGCATCCAGGAATTCCACGATCCCTGCTCACCGCTCACCGAGCACCGTGCACAGTAGCAGGTGTATACGCCATGCCATTTCAGAATTTCATAAGTGCTGTGGCCTCCATGTTGGCGTCTGCTGCATCGATCCGCTGCTCAGGTCCTCGGCACTTGCATTTGCTGGGAACCTTAAGACCGGCTGTTGCAACTTAGGTCGCTTGGGAAGAGCAGACTGCGATCAGGCGGGGCCACCCGACGCCGAGGGTTGTTCTTAGGGCTGAAGAACTTTTTACACAAGGCGAGAGAAAATAAAAGGGAAGCCATGGGAAACCTCAGGCCCCAATGAACAGGCGATGCTGAGCATAGAAGATGTGTTTTCCACGGGAAGGGTGCCAGGTTGCTGATATTTGCTGATGGCGTTTGCTCGCTGCTCGTGGCTCCCCGGGACATGCGCAATGAAGCGATGCTTATGATGGTGTAGCACGGAATCCGCATTCTTCTGGACTTGGTTGCTGACCGAGTCCAGCTGTCTGTCTGTCCTGCGAAACACGGCTCAGCATGTCGATGCACGTCCTCGTGCCTTCATGTCACGGCGAGCCTGGTGCCCAAAACCATTGTGCCTTGCAGGCAAAGGCAGTGAAGCTGATCGCTGGGAGCTCAACAGCTGCGGGGGTCTGCCTCATAGAAGACTCCCAGAAGAGGACTCGGGCTCTCTCCAGTGTGCAGGATCTGGCCACTCTCCTGCACATTGTGGCATCGTGGCATTGCTGCAACCCCCAAGTCGAAACGCAAGACGGCACTACGCATCGGTCATCACCAGCTAATTCATGTCAGAACCCTGACAAATTTAAATGATCTTCGATGTGTCTCCCCGTGGGAGCTTTCCGTGTGCTATGCTGATGCACACCGAAAACTTTTCCAGTTGCTCCTCACGAGGGCCTCAGAACTTCTGCGTTGACTTCTGCTTCGTGGAGCTGCTGCTGTCGATGTGATGCACTTGCCACAAGCCCACTGCGGCGATCTCAAAGTCACAGGCGAGATCATCCACACCCATTCTTCGCTTAATGCCGATGACTTCCAATAACGTCTAGCACTGACTGCATAACAGATCACATGGTACTTATCTGCCTTGCCCAAAGGATGCGCATCGAAGTGAAGTAAGAACAAGGACGGCCTGAATCACTCTCGAGCTATAAAGACAGCAGTCCAGAATGGTGAGTGCCCAAGGCTGCCGGAGCGCCACGTCCTCCTCCCGTGGTGGCAGCATCGTTTCGGGCAACGACAGTTGGCGCCATGAATTGCAGCGGGTGCAAGGTCTACTTAGCCTGCTTGATCCTGCACACCCGGCTCCTGCTGATCAGCGACCGTTACATTGAGCCGGAAGGAGTATCTGGATTCGTTCACGTAGGTGGATGGAACGTCAAGCACCTTTGCCAGGTCTTGATCGACACCCGAACTGGGAGAACTGCCCACAGAACTGTAGAACTGGCTGCGGTTGATTGCCGCCGTAGGCGCCACTGTGCGTGCATTGCGTACGGTGCAGCGAAGGGTGCCCTGGGTGTTCGGGAGCTGGTCGTATGATTCCTCACCAAAACAGCTAGTCAGAGCACGCTTAAGCAGCGCAACGACGACAGTGAAGATATTGATTCCACGTGTCCTTGCCACCCCAGCGCTGGAAGCCGGAGCACCTGTACACTGCATCTGCACCCATACAATACCCATACACCCAGAGGATCCCAGAGGCCCTGAGGCTTCCACTCAGGAACCCCCTTCAAAGTTTGGTCTGGCTTCAGGGCTCCAAGTCCTTTTTGCAGTAAAGGGTGGCAAGGCAAGATCTACAACACCCGTGTAGAGATAAAGAAGAGGAAGACTTTGTGGATATCGCGTCTCTGCTCCCAAGGGCTTGCACGGCCCTGGAACATCCACCTCTAATCCAATGCGATCAACGCAACGCCTCCAAGCTAAAGCTTCGAGTATTGCCCGTAGAAACGCCAAGGAAACTTCTGCGCAACTAAGGCTCGCTCTACAAATTAGGTGCTTCACTCAAGGGGTCGGGGTCAAAGCTTGGCTTGCTTAAATGGCAACAGAGCGTTCCGGCAATAGGGCTTCGTGGCGGTGTGGGTTGCCAAGGTCTGTGAGGGGCACTGGCGGGTAACTGCTAGGTGGCAAAATGATTGGCTTAATGTAGCGCTCGGAAAGCAACCAGAGCGAAAAGCACTGCGAATTTGCGGCTCCAGGCACAATTCCGAGAAGGGGCCGCTCGGCGGAAAGCTGAAGCCACTGGGTGCCACGAGCAGCAACTGCCACGACGCTGCCTACCAGGAAAACATACACAATATATGTATGTATACATATATATATATATAGGTATGTAGTCTTGCTCGATGTATGTACATTATGTGTGTTTGCAGGAATGCCCACATTCGCCCCTAAGAATAGTGTCCCCCATATAGTAGGATTCACTAATTTCGGGACCCCACATTACGACATTGTGCGGTGCTGCGCCTGGGTCTCAGGCAGGTCGCCACCAAGAACTGTGGTCCCTGCATTGTCCACTTCGCTCCCAATGGCATGTGTCGGCACAGCGATGCGGAGACGATCAATGATGCTTGACAGCATACACCAACAACACAAACTGAGCTGCAAGCAGCAGAATAGCATCAATTGTTAATTCTGGGCTTGCCTGGCGAGCTTGAACTCGACGTCTCCATAAAGACTACGGAAGACGTCACAAACAGCAGCCTGGCAGGGCAATGCGAAGCCAGAAGATACAAGCAACATAGAGCGCAGAAGCCAGGGAAGAGATGGACTTGAAGGCCAATTTGAATGCGATGTGTGCACGTGTCAGATCATCGGACTTGGCTCAAAGGATAGATTGAACAGCGAAGCGGCGAAATGTCGTTGGCCGTCCCCAAATTCCAAGGAATGGAGTTTGGATACACCTTCGCAGTCGACAACAAAACATCCGCTGACAACGCAACTATCTCACGGCAATTGCCAATTGCCCTTGGCTAGCTTGCTTGCTGAAGTCGCACAGTTCCTACGTGCAGTGTCGCTCCAGGCGAACTGCTCAGTCGTGACCAATCTCAACAAGCCCGTGCCTGGAAGTATGGCATCTGGTATGACATCACAAATCCAGGAATGAATTTGCGCAAGTCGATGTGCTCCATGAACTGGCTCCTTATAGTTTAAACTTCGAACAATTCGCTCAACTGTACCATTGCCTTCTGTTACGGGTGCACTGGGGCGGACAACACGTGGCACTCCCCTCATTTGTCCCAAGGAGCTGAATGTAGAAGTACCTGAGCTTGGCTTTCTCTCCCCAAACTCTGAGCAAGTATATGCAGGCATGTGGAGTAGGGAACAGGGCACTGGTCGGTTTTGCAGACCAAGTGGCCAATAGTTCGAGCTTGGTGTAGCAGATGGATTCCGGACGCGTGCACTCACATAGAAGTACGTGTTGGGCTGCACATAGTCCTGCGGGCCTTAGTACAGTCCGGCTTTTCTGTCTGAAGCGCCTACGAATACACTAGAAAAGTGTTAGGCCAAATCAACTCGAAAGCGAACAACGACATCATCTTAATCACCAGGCCACTGATATTGATTCCCTTCTTGGGCTGTGCTGAATTTTGCTGAATGGCCCTCCACCAAACTTGTCAGCTTCAATCAAAACTCATCCCAATTGGGCAGGCAGGGCACTCACGTAGAAGCGGATGGTTGCCCCCGAGGGCTCCGTACCATCCTGCCGAAAATGCGGAATTTTACATGTTGCTATGGAATATACGGAGGTACTATGAAGTCATCGAAAAAAGGCCCTTCAATCCCCGCCCTGTGCTGAGGACTTTTTTCAAGGTCTCCCCAAACTCTTCGAAGATCTTCGAGGCCTCCGAGGTGAGGTCGTTCATCACGAGCGGAGCCCTGTCCTGCTGGAACGAGCTGGAGACCTGCAAAGCGTCAGACATGCTGGAGCATCCCCTGCTAATATCAGAAAGGAGCTTCGGCTACAAAGCCGATAAGGCTCTCGAGACGGTCTGCAGATCTGAAAGGAGCCGCTCCGCTGCAGCGGAGAGAGGCCCAGCAATTGGTAAGGCGCGCTACATAAAAATACTCTTAAAGACTTACCACTCCCAGAAGACTCGACTTTATAGCAGATCCCACACCGCCAAGCACTCCCGAAAAGCAGGGCAAACTTTACTTTACAGAGTTGGCCCCTGCTCAAGCGGCCCAACATAAAAAAAACCTTCTGTAAGTAGGCTGCCACCTCGGAGGCATCGAAGACGAAGCCTTATGGGCGCGGATGTGAACACATGCTGCCCCCTAGAAGGTCGACTGATGCTGAAAAAACAGCCAGCTCATCCTCTCTCGTGTTCTGTACACTTACTGGCACCTCTCCTGGTCTTAACTGTCGAAGGGCTTCGTAGACTTCTTCGGAAAGGGTGTCCCCTGTGTTCCCAACGTGGGAGTTTACGAAAATCAGGGGCCCCAGAATAAACCGCATATAGTAAGATTCCCTAAAAATAAGGACCCCAATAAGGTAGCCCTAATGTCGGAAACCCCCATGTGAGCTCCCGAAAATCTGTTACAGACAAGGAGCCCAGTGGCGCCACCATGGTTACCTGAGCTGGTTGTATAGAGTCGGGGATGTGACTCAGCAGCTGTGGCATGCTATGGCACTATCATGCATATAAGCGGGCCACAATATTCAAAGGACCAAATGCGGACTTTCGTGCCAGGGCATCGGTTTTGGCATTAGGTATCGCTTCGCCAAATCGCAGCTTGGCTTACGAAAGCAGGGTATCGCCTACAGTGTAGATAAAAGCATAGTTTCCCAGCAGGAGGCACGCGTGACGTGGGGAGCACCCGAAGAACGGGTATCGCCAGGATATCGTTGCAAGTATCGTCCTGTTCCCATGATCTGAGTTGAAGTATTCGCGACACTCCATCCGACATCCGTGGTGATCATGAGTAACACGCTCAAAATTTTGGGTATTTGGCATCATCTCGCAAAGCAACCGCCAGTAGTTTCCCCTGTAGCACCCGGCACAAGGCCTCAATAACGCTTGCCACCCATCTTCATATTGATAGTAGTACATCAATATTGATAATAATCTGAACAATATGACTAATTTGAATCATATGAATATAACTCAACAATATTAAAAATGGTAATGAAATTAGTAATGCTAATATGAGCATGATACACATATTCTCAAGACTATCAAGAATACTAATATTGACATGTATTGACCTTATACTAGGAATGGAAACATGTCAATTGTCTGCATGATATCTACAATATCTATAATATCAATCAGATCCTTAATACGAATACTAAATAGCATCAAAATGAATATTCCGAATAACCGTACTATTACAGCTTTTAATGATACTAACAAAAAGGACGGTGCCGAGGTGCCGTCGCCCTCGGTGGAATCGGCCGCTCTGAACGGAGCAGGGCCGTCACAGCGTTGTCCACGGCACCTGATCCGGGGATGCCATTCTCCAACATGCCCCCAGCTCCATTGAGCCAATGTCAAGCGCATGTCAGGCAAAACTTTGCAGGCCTGCCAACGTTGTGACCGGAGTAACGCGCACCGTACGTAGCTGGCGCAGGGCAAAGCCTGTCTTGATATGTTGGCAGCTGTCAGCTAGCCCTACCCTACGTCTTCTACATCTGGCCAGTGCAGCAGTCGCCGACTTTAAAATTCAAGACTTAACAAGTCCGTAGTGGCTAGTGAAGGTGTTCGGCTAAGCTTTGTCCTCCCAGACGCGAGCCTTCCACGTTCGCATCTCGTTCACGAACGATGCCATCCTGCAGCAGAGGTACGTGTGCGGATGGGTGCAGGGCCAATGGAGAATCCTGCTCGTAGCTTTAGGTCCTACTTTAGGTGCTCTCATTAGGCCTGTGTCGCCTTGCGACTCTGCCCCGACACTTGCATGCCCTTCCATAGCTCCTGCACAGCTCTCAGTTCCCAGACATTGTGGAGTGGCGCAGAGAGCGCATTGCGAACCTTGAAGAAACGCCGAAGACGTTCAGAGAAACTGAGACAAATTACCAGAACAGCAGGTCAATTTCTTGAATGTCTTGACTATGCAGAAGACGACTGTTCTGTCGGTTCGCAGCTTTCTGCCTTTTTCTACGTCCGCTGTCCCAATGTGCCTGAAGAGTGAACTCATAGAGCGTGAACGCCTCCAGCGTGAGTGAAAGTCGCACCCTGGCCGGAGAGGGCACATCCGTAGCCGCTTTGGGGCATACAAGCAAGATGACAGCAAGGCAAAAGATACGGACACCGACTGCAAGCCAGCTGTGGACACTGAACAGACGAACGACGGAGCGCGCCGATGCCTGGCAATGTTCGAGTGGTCTGGGTCCGCAAGGCACAGGGAACCTGGCACAGGAAGGCAGGAAAACCAAAAAAACTAGTAGCAGACACTGACTGTCCCAACTGATTTTGTCCACAGGTCAACATCTTCATGTTCTGTTTGCGGCCCAGCACTCTGGTCCGTTGCTGCGGGTCTCAGCCTCTCCGTTTACCGAGGTCTTGACAAGGCTCTCTCCATGTTTGCAGGTCACTTCGGTTGGAAGATTTTAAGATTTTAAGGTTCCCTTGGGATTCCGATTCTTCCGATTCTGCGCGGGAAGACGGGGAACTGTGAGGGGGGCCTGGCGGCAGCCCTCGGTGCGCGGAGCCAACTCGCTGGAGGACCCAGAAACCTCGAAATTTGCAAAAGAGCACCGACATAGCACATAGCGCTCCACTTCACTGAGTCGCTGTACTTCGCAACAACATTTACTACGAGCTACGTGGAAAGAAAGAACTCGGAGACGCAACGAGACTTGATGGTCCAAAGGAGCCACAGGTTGTTGCGAAGACGAAGCCTTCAGGAGCCACCACCTGCATTGCACAAAGGCATTTTGCCAAGACATGTCTCACAAAAAAAATTGGCCGACAAAGCGCAGGGCGACGAGAGGCTACGGAGGGCCTCCAGCCAGGTTGTATAGACGCAGAGCTTGTCGCTCGAGGTGCACTGCTGGCTTTGTCCTTAAGCTGGGCACCAGCCGAAGCAACCGAAGCAAGGTGGAACAAGGTGGAACATGGTGGAACCCTGGATGCGCAGCTCGAGCTCCCAGGTGTGTCATCAAGGCACCGAAGCTGTCGGCGAACAGAGGTTGCGTGACCGCCACGGCAATGTGGACATAGTTCTCGGCCTCAGGCTGGAGTCTGGCTGGAGGACCCCAGGACCGACTCCCAAAGCAGCAAACAACGGCTGCAGGCACAGTGGCTAAGGGCTCGTTGACATCCGCTTCCTCGGCTGCGAGCAGGCCAGGACAGGGATGTGAAGCTCGCGGGCAAACACCATGTAAAGACGACTTCACTGCCAAATCCATGAGCAGCTCACAGGAATTCTGGTAACCTGCTTGTGCAAGATGCTGGCCCTTTTGAACCCGATTGCAGAACATTCTGGTGGCAAGCGCCACGTCCAGTCGACTGGCCAGCGACAGTTCGGTGGGTTTCTACATGCATCTCTTGCTGCAGCAGCTGCTGCAGCATCATGTCGTGGATGCCAGTATGTTGCTATAAAAAGGATGAAGTTCGCCAGTTAAGCAGGATTCTTGATGATTCTTGTCAAGATTTCTTCGAGGGCCCTCCTTGAGCAACACATAGCAACACAACTGAAGTTCAACAGAAGCTGCCACGACCAGAGATGTTCCCCCATCTCTAAGAATGTGGCTGCCATGAAGCCGTGACTGGCCATGACTGGAATCGCAGCCGCAGCCGCCGCAGCCGCCGCAGCAGCAGCAGCAGCGGCATCAGCAGCCGCAGCCGCAGCCGCAAGGCAGCAGCAAGGCGGCAGCAAGGCAGCAGCAAGGCGGCAGCAAGGCAGCAGCAAGGCGGCAGCAAGGCAGCAGCAAGGCAGCAGCAAGGCAGCAGCAAGGCAGCAGCAAGGTAGCACATTGTGACCCTTCACGAATCTCGCAATTCCCAGAACCGATGTGCGGCCGAGTGTCGATATACGAAGCATTGAAGCTTGACTGCACTACGAAGCCTGGTCGTTTGAGGCTTGCGACACGTTGCGACATGTTGCGACATGTTGTGACATCAGCACAAGGTGCCCATTAAGCATTCAAGCTTTGAGGGTGCTTGGAGCAAAAGCGCAGTGACATGCTTCCGATTGCTTCAGCCTGGAATAGCTCGGTCGAGGGCCAAGGTGTCGTTCAGTGGACTCCGGACTTCGATCCTCCAGCTTTCTCGAGGTCCGTCACAAATCCCACACAGCTCTCTAGAAGCATTCGTTCACACACTCACACGCCCGCGAATCCGCTGTATCCATCTGTGCAAACCACTCGTGTCCAAGTCTCGTCCACTGGTTCCTGACACAGGTCGTCACGAGACATGAGGAAGGAGTGTAGACATGAGTAGACACTGGAAAGTGGGCGGAGAGAGGGGCGAGTTGGCAAAATGATCCCGTAAAGGAATGACACGACAGGGGCTTGGTCAAGCGTCTGCGGCGGACTGACTGCAGGGTTGCCAACCTGAGCAAGGTCTCCGAAGATGAAGAGATGAAGGTGTTGACAGCGAAAAAGCAACGAGCAGGTTCAACAAACCATGGCCAGGCTGCTGTCAATCGGAAGGAGAGCTGCTGTGAAGGAGAGATGGCGGCCAAAATCCAAACCATGACTTCCGCCTGCGCTCGGAGCTCGGGATTCGGGCGGGATTCGGGGCACGGCACATACCCACAAGCCACAAGGGTGCGCCCCAAACAAGGGCCTCAGAAACAGCAACGGCTTGCGAGGGAAATTCAGCCGCGAAGGTGGCGGCAAAAAGCGTGAAACCACCAGGTGCCTGACTCGTCTTCCGAACTTCCGAATCTCCCAAACAGGTCGGAAGCAAAGCTTGCGACAAGAAGACACACACCTCTTGATATGTTGTACATTCATGTGACGCTACAACCATGCGAGAACGCTTTTACAAAAATGACACTCTCAGGACTTGGCCGCCACCCGCGCAGAGGCCCCAGAAGGGACTGCCACGGGGGACGCAAAAGAGAACCTGCACAGATCCGTGCTGTGACAAAAACGGTCAATTTTCCCATGAGTCTTTATAAGTATACTGTAAGGGCCCGCATGGCAACATGGACACCCAAAAGGGCACTAAACTTGGCGTACCCTGGAAGCTCTTCTGAACAAGCAGCTTGTCACTGACAAGCAACAACTGGCACGTCTCGCATGTTGGCGCAATCTGTGCAACCAAGATGCTCAGCATGGTTTGCAAATGACATTGACGACACATCCTGGGGGCCGCTTGGGGTCGGATGCACGCAAAGAGACATGTGTCAGGAACACTCCACCTGGGCACTAGGCAGAAACGAACTCTGCAAGACTGGTGGATGCAGTGAAGGAAGTACGCAGGAAAACATGATGTTCAACACTTGCGAGGATGCGAGGGCATTCAAAAAAAGGCCGAAAAAAGAAAAAACGGAAAGTGCTGACATTCGGGAACGGTCAAGACATCCGGATGTGAGCACGCTTCCCTGACGGGAGAAGATCCATTCAGGGTTTGCCCTATTCCGCCCCGCCGGCTCAACAAAGTGGCTCCGGAAGCCTTGAGCCCACTGGGCTTCTTGCTCAAAGCCCCTTCATATTGAACAACATGAAGTAATCACCCAACCGACGAAGGCGGAGCGCACACAAACACATAAAAAAACCAACGAACGAACACACGCGTGGATGAGCTCGTCAAGGCAAGCTATGTTTCATTCTTTTTGGATGTTGTTCTCTGTCGTGACTTTGACTCCCGAAAACCCTTTGTTTTGAAATGTGTTATGCAGAAGGCTTTGGGACCGTAGAACAGATGATACGACATCAATGATCTCAACAATAAGATTATGCACAGCACATAAACATCACACACTCTACACATGCGAATGGTCAAGAACTTGCAGTCGAACAGATGATCACCGCCGGTATCCTGAAGCTTCCACACTCGCTTCGCGAGGCAGCGCTCTGTGAGCCTCCTCTCCCCCCCCCCGTTTGAAAACGACGGCCGCTTTTGCACAACACGGCGCACCCGGAGCTACTGACACGGCAAGCTCGGTTACTGCAGTAACACTGAGCACGCGCTGGCGCCGCAGCAGTGGGTTCATGTGCATCTTTGCGGAAAACTCCCCCCCCCAAAAAAAAAAAGCACAGAGGGAGAGAGACATATTTATATGTATATATATATGCATATATTCTCAAGTCACTACATCTGAGCAATGTTCCCCAGCCTTGGGGATGACCCTCGCATTCTCCAGCCGTGGGAAGATCGTAAATCCTTTGCGCTCATCAGACGACCCCTACTACCTCACTACCTGCGGCGCCATTCCCTACGAGCATGCTGTAGCAAGTTCACGCAAGTTCACAGTGACAACTGGAAACCATCAGGATGCTGCAGAAACATCAGGGCTTGCCTGGGACATCCGGCGCTTCGTCCCATGTCTGATTCTGGGCGTTCTCGGTAACCACCTGAGGGCCGAAACACGGCCTACCCACATTGTTTTCTCGCCGGCATCATGCCCGCGCCCACTGAACCAAGTCTGTCTGAAGAGTGGCAGATGCTCGGGATCAAAGAATCACTTTGGTTTGATGCTTCAAGCCCCCAGCCCATTTGAAGGCACATGTGAGAGGCTGTGAGCGGGCATGCTTCAACCCAAGACAGGCCCAACCCCTCACGCCGCGCGCTATCCTGCACCCAAGTTCTCCGATGTCTAGTGCTTCGAGTGCCTGCACAGTTCCTGCGAGATCCAGGCTCCTGTAAATTTGGGATGTCCAAGGGGCACAAAAACCATCTGGCAATGAACGAAAGCGGGCTTTCCTGAGTTGCTGCAGGCAGGGCACTGCCCATCGGTTCCGTTCATCTGTGGCGGTCAGCCTTGGGTCCAGTCCATGACATTGAGCTGCAGTCTTCAGAAGCAATTCAGTGTAAGCATCTTTTGGTGTTTTTTCTCAGGGTGCTCCGGGTGAACTCCGCGGCCGAGCCGCGCTACTTCGCCAGAATTCACGGACATCCCGGCAAGCACCTGGCTGTCTCCCAACCTGGGCACTCGCTGGACACTCGAGCATGGACGGGAAGATTGCTCGGTGTGCAAGCCAGGGTGGAACACGTCAGCAGAAGAGTGCAGGACTGAGCTCAGCGCACGCTTGAACTGCCATCCAACCCTGAGCAAGAAATCACCGATTGCAGTGTAGCACATGTATGTTTGGTCTTCAGAAACGGCTGCGGAGTTCTCCGAGTTGTCCGAGCGTCATAGAACCAGGCTGTTGTTCTCTAGGAAGCAGTTGATGGAGACCTTGCTGCGAGACTGGTACCAGCAAGTCGGGGCAAAATCAAAACAGCGCGGAAACGACCACTAACTCTGGCACATTGCATCCGGTGGGCGGTGGAGGATGTGCTGAATGCAGGGATGTGCAACGGGCAACCGCCAACACATACACTGTACTACGATTATCCCGACGAAGGCTCATTAAGGTACATGGACCATCAACCCTTTTTAGGGTTCATGACGTGGGAGCCCGCCCCCTTCTTTTGCAGTCTGGAAGCCGGCGCGCCATCCACCGAGAGCGTACAGGCCAGCGCCGGCTGCAAGGAAGCCTCGAAGCGGAGACGGTATCTATATAATCCGTATACATGAATACGTATCGAATGAACCTGATGTGTCCAAGAGATCTATCTTGTACAGTATGGAACTTGCAGACTTTCAGAGATGCATATGAGAACCCGGCAGGTGGCCGCACGACGATTCGGTCGCCACTTGCCAATGGCGAGACAGGGCCTCAACTGGGTTCTTCCGCAACTCTGCCATGCTAACTCTGCTGTGCTCTGCCTCAACCTTCGCTGCCCTTGCCCTGCAGACTGAGAAGCTGAAAGCTACAGCCACAGCCGTGTCGAAGCCCACTGGGATGGGGCTCGTTGCTGCCTTCAGCTTTCATCAACGAAAATACCGTTTCAGTTTCAATTCAGGCGTTGTCCCACACCCGACACATGAGGCCTTGCAACGGGTCAGAAGTCAATTTGAAGTCAAGCTGTCCGTGTCCAGGCCAAGAAGGCGAAGGTCTGGCAGTTGCAGACAGGCGGCCGTAATGGTGCAGTCCTGTACCGTGCTCGCGAGCAGCGCGAGATCAGCTTTGCATGTTGGATGTTGCGAGGGGGTCAGGATGCCATGAGCCCATCCGCAGGAGGCCACATGCTTCTGAGCCATCAACTTGGTTGTCATGAAACAGGCTCTTCCATAGACAGTCGTCCTGCAGAACCGGCAGCAGCTGGTACCCGATCGCAGCGCGGCCAGCCGCAGTGGAATCGCGGCCAGAAGCGCGACGCACCAGGCGAAGCTGCCAAAAGTTGGCCTCGATATGACAAGGTCGGTCTCATTGAATAGGTCTTCCGAATACTTTCGTCGGGCCGCCTGTGAGATCTGATGTTGGCGAACTGCTGTCAGAGCAGGGTTGAACACCCCCACAGCGAAGATGTAGCTTGGTCCTCTGACATTCGAGATACTTCGAGATGCAGAGTCACAGCAGCACAGCAGCACCAGTGTAGATTCTACAGTGACAGCGGCGATAAAACGCGTCCTACGTCCAAGTTCCCAGACAGGCGCAAGCGAAAGCTGTTTGCCGCAGGCAGGGCCATGCAAGCATCCCCCTGCACCAGCTGAAGCGGGAACTCGAACGCCATGGTGCTCGACTGACCTGCGACATCATGCTACTTCCCACCTCAGTGGGGAAGAAGTCGAGATCTGGAGAGATGCGCGTGTATGACACGCAAGGCTTCATGAGGAGGATGTTCGCCGCCTGCTTTCTCTGCATGAAAGAAGGAACAAAAAACACTTAAAACCGCAAACATTCATGAGACTTGTCAGAATGTCAGAAAATGAGCTCAGAAATGAGAGCACCTCGAAGTCCGCCGTCACTGGCTCCACAGTCTCGTTGCCGCTGCCTTGCCTGAAGTAAACAAAAAAAAAGGGGGGCAGGGCTGCTAAGCCGCGTGCGCCTCTAACTCGATCAGCCTAAGGCACATGACACCGCAACTGCACGGCCTGTGTGGAAGTGTCAAGCCAAGAATCGTAGGCACGGAGAAGAAAGGCGGCATGTTGACCACAACAAAGCTCTCCTGGCACGTATGTCAGAACTGGTCTCTCACGTGAAGAGCTCATTTTTCTCTGCAAAAGAAGGCTCGCAATCATGAACACAGTTTCAAGCAGGCAACTGCAAGAAGTCAAACCGCTTCATGTGGCCGGGCAAGCTCAGCTATCGCTCCCAGGTCGGGAACGGGTCTGCAAACATCTTGCAAGGGGCTGGAAGATGCTTTGGGAAGCTTTGGATTTGGGATGCCTCGGTGCTGGAGACCACCTGGAACACTCCAAGATCCTCCGGCAGCGAGAACTCGATGCCTGAGGGCAGCTGCCGTGCACGCAACGCAGCATCACAGCGCTACCCCCACGCTCAACCCTCGAACTCTACCTCATCTACCTTTCTTTCTCAAAAGAAAAACGTTCTAAGGCCCCAAGGCCGTGCTGCGAACGGTCGCTGCCCGCGCTGCGTTCGCAGAGCTAGGCAAGAGGTCAAAGGAGGCCAAGCGCAGGTGCACGGCGTAGCCTGAGTCTGCATGAAGTGGGGCCATTGGAAAGGCAAGTGGGCAATCTTTGAAGCCCTTCCTCTGCATGGCTTACAGTACGCTCACCTGGGTACATGGGAAAGACTGTGCAAGCAAGGCCTGCAACGGCCGGGTTCTGTTCCAAGTAGGAGTCGCCTGCAACAACACCAGCTCCGGGAGAAAGGGAACTGAGTCGGCTGGGATTCGGGTCAGACATGCGAGCCAGGTTCATGCGCTGCACCTTGAGAACCAACCGAAGTCTTCGACATGTTTTCGTCTCTGGTTCCGGTGACCAGATCTGGTTCTCGTAGCAGCGCAGTCTTGAAGGTTGACACCCGGTGTTGGTCGGGCAGAAGTCTCGATTGGCCAGACCACCCACTCACTCTGAGGTTCGGCTGAAGTGATGACACTCTGTGCTGCAAGACGTCTGCTTTAACAGAGCCTGTCAGCCACTCAGCTATTGAATGTCACTATGAGAAGAGCAACCAAAAGCCAGAAGACGCTAAGACACTACTTATTGAAGGGCCCCCCTTTTCAATGCAAATCAAAGAATCCAGTTCTGCAACCGGTCGGGATGTCCTGCCCCCCCCCTCCCCCCGACCCCGCCCGGCCCCCGAATGCTCTTGGGCCCCGGAACTTGCTTCCCTCCTTGAGCGCAACGCTTGGAAGACGGGGGTTTCATCACTCACTCACTCACTCACTCACTCACAAACACACCTTTCTTCGGATAAGTGGGGGGCGGGGGGTCGAATTCAGGCGTTGTGTGGCCCATCATGGCCTAGGTCCGTTTGCTCGACGGACGCAATGAACCAGTCTTCTGCCGTGGAAGTGTACTGGGAAGGATTCACCACCTAGGCGATGATTCTTCTCTTCGGTGCTCTGGTTCCTTCCTAGCATGCACATCCGGTAGCTCAGCCCGAATCTGCCTCCGAGGTACGCCAAGTTTGAAGCGCAGGAAGACTCCGGCAGCCAGGTACGAGAAATCGTCAAGCTGCAGCTTTACCACATTTGGACCTCCAGAACCTTCACAAAGACAGAAAACAGCTAAGCAAAGCCAAGCGAAGCCCAAGCAGCTCAAAGAAGGGACATGTCAGAGCAAATGCCGCAGATACCCGCTGATGGAGATGCCTCGCATGCAGGTCGTTCCCGCCGGAAGCGGGCTGAAGCCCTCGGAGCTGCCGAAGGTGTCCGGAAAGAAGCCTCTTTTTCTTCAGCAGAGAGCTTCCATTCCGGTGCTTCTGGCAGCTTCTGGCATCTTCAGGCTCGGCCTTCGCAGGGCTCGGCCAAGAGCTGGAAGCCGGGTGGAGCCGTGATAAGCCTTGGCTGCAGCGGACCACACAGACAAAGAGCACCAACACCAACTCAATGAAACTTCGTAATCGCCTCTCATTACTGCCTTCTTTTTGGATGAATCGGCACAAGGAACACGGAGCCCAAAGGCGGAAGTGTCAGTGAGGGAGCAAGCTCCAGACTCACAACACCTGGTCAAAAGTGCATGCAGTCCAGTTGAGACAACCGACACAGTCGATGACCGCTATCCCAGGCTACGCAGATGAGATTATGATAGGGTTTGCTGTCTGACGTCATGGCCTTGCTCTCCAGCACCCAGCACAAATGGTACCAGGACAGAACGCTCGAAGGTCCAGAGGAAGAATGCCTGCCAGGACACGCAGTGTCACGTATTTTCTGTTTGATTTTACAAGTGTGTGTCTACATATATATGTATATTTTCTACATATTGCTGTACATTCCATATTGGATACTACTGTACATAGTAAAAATCGCTCACACACACATACATACATACATACATACATACATATATATATATATATGTATGTATAAGTATATGTATATATACATGTATATGTACATGTATGTATGAGCATATATATCTATATATTCTTCATGCCATAAGCAAACGAATAAATACATTCATAGAAATATGTGTAAACAAAAAAAAAATATATATATATATATATATATATAGATATATGGTCAGCCCTCTCTCCCCCCCCCCCCCCCCCCCCCCCCCCCCCCCCCCCCCCCAACCGCCATGATCCATCTCTTTTTTCGCTGTGCTTGAACTTCGTCTAAGAGTTTTGGAAACACCAGTACTTGCGATACATTTTTCTATGAAGTCATAACTTTTAGTTGTCGTCTCGTATTTAGTAAAAGCGACAACAGAATTCCCTCATTTTTCTCAAGCTCGTAATTAAAATACTGTAACATACAGTATATAGTAACCTAGAACATACAATATATGTGAAGATGTGCTACACGCAGCTCACATTGAGAGCGAAGCGAGCCACGGCCGCCTTTACCTGCGCCGCATTCAGCACACCACCTTGCACCTGCAATTTTTGGCACAGGATAGACAGAGAGACATAGCAGTGCTTCAGTGCTGCAGTGTGCTAAAACGTGCCGACAATGCTTCGACTTGCAGAATCACGTGTAGCGGCTTACGAAAGTTCTGCAAGTAAAACATGTCTGCGAGAGCACGTTCAGAGTCTCGAAGCGCCAGACATCTTGCTGAAAGGGCCAGTCACCTCTGCTGAATCATGAATTTCGGAGCGAACCTGGCTGATACAAGTAGATACCGGAAGCAAGGTGTCCTCGAGACTCTCGCAAACCCTGATGCACAAGGCCAGATGGAAAGCATCTGGTACCATCCCACATTCTCGAACTCTTGCTGCGTCCAAGCTGCTCGGATGGGGTAGAGCTGGGTTGGCCACCGCAAGGCGAAACGAGTAGCCTCGCAAAAATTGAGACTGCCTCCCTGTGGGCTGCGAATGACAACTAACCAATGCATGTTTGTCTTCGAAAGAAAACCTCAAGGAAGAGTGTCCCGTGCTGCGCTGCGCTCCAAAGCCGGAGGCCTCTACAGCAGTTTCCTCCCACTCCATAAATTGCGCCACTACAGGGCGGCATCGTGCGGGTTTCGGCTCTGGCGCCAGGGGTCTCGCTGTCTCTTTCGGGAGGGTCTCTCGATGTCCCCTAGCAGTCTATAGAGCAGCTGCGTGAGGGCCTATAGTATGTTGACGGACCTCGGGCCCTCCATGCCTTACCTGGCTGTGACTGCGCATGGTCTGTGGATACTCGACGGTCAGGACCCATGTCTTAAGTTTCTCAATGCGCACACGAGACTCCCAACTTCACGGCTCAGTCATTCAGGGTGGAACATCGTTGCTCAATCCGCAAAGCAACGGATCGCGGCATCCATTCGCTCCGCCAGCACTAGCCTTTCACAGGAGTGATGGAAGGAACCCAAAGCCGTAAAGCGAGAATTCGCGCGGACCTAGTGGCCATTCACGACAACTACGAGTACCGTCCCTGCCTTGCTGTGTTCTGCAGTCCAATACAGGCTTGCAGTCTGGGCAGGTCCTGGAAATACTGGCGTTCATCTTCCGTCAGCGCTGTGGACAACACAACCCACCAGATGCCAGCAGCAAATGTAGCCAACCTCAGCTGTCCTCATAGATCTGAGCTCCCTGGAGCTCTGCCAGGATGCTGGCTGATGCAGAAATGGAGAAGAGGCAATCCACCGCAAATGTGAAGCGGTACGGTGCCTCAGCGTCAAAGTGACATGGCGCACATGTCATGCAGCCGATAGGCAGCAACTTCACCAAGACAACATGCAAGATGTTCATCTCGGGCATGCTCGTCTGCATGCAGGGCTGCAGTGATGCGAAGTGCACCGCCGACAGGGACACTCGCGGCAGCTTGCAACGAAAACATTACCTTGTTGTCCTTGGCTATGGCTGGTTTGTGCCAACGGCATGTAGCTCAACTTCTGCAAACAAGTGGAGGAGTCGAGGGGTTTTTTTTGGGGGGGGGGGGCCGCAACATAGTTTCTGATCATCTGGCAGTTGCTATGGCTGCTGTGGCTACAGTGTGCAGTGCGCGTACAGTCTACATTTCAGCAGCATGCTACGCTCTCTGCATCTGCATCTGAATCGCTGATGCTCCGGATCTCAAGTCCTCGCCCGTATCCGCCTCAGGATATGCAGAACTGGGAGGCGGTTAGGTTAGGGTTTAGGCCAAGTCAGGGCCTGATAACAGCTCTCAGCTGAGCCACCGTCCCTGGATGATAAGAGGCCGAGAGCAGTTGCTGCGCCTGGCGGAAGCCTTAGAGGCCATTGGAGTCGTACGTTCTGCTGCCAGCTGCAAGATGTGGTGGTTATCGCCCTTCAGGGGTCATGTTCCGAAATTAGGGGTAACTTCTTGGGGTCCTTCATGGTCCTTGTTAACAAGGGAGTCCTGCTATTTTGGGGGGGCTACTGTAGGCGTCTCCCCTGGTTTCGCAAACCCCCATGCCTTGCAGGACTGCAGAGAGTCATCCATTTTGTGCCTAAACCCCCCAATCATGCCCTGATCCCCTAAACCAGAGGCACTTACCTACATGGATGAGGGTTTTGACAAGGGTAGTCGGGTAGTTGCTCGCAGGTCGCGCTTGTTTTGAACCAATCGCAGTCTGACTCAGCGGCTGCATACATTAACGATGTGAACGCATCCCAAGGTTCAGGACATCGGATCATACGGAAACCGCTTCAGCTTCGCGAGAAAGCCTCACACACGTCCGCCTGAAATTCAGGAGCGTACACCCTAACGCCACCTTTGATTCTCTTTGGGCAGCGGTGTGCAAGAATTCTGGACTCAGTCCTCTCGTAAAGGACGTCCTTTTCATGCGTGTTTTCTGTGAGGCCACTGAAGGGCTCCAGCAGGGCAGAGAATTGAAATCTACTCCGCGAGGTCACCCTTCCAAGGCTCGGAGGACAACGAGACTTGCCGCCCACGGTCCGTGACTTTGACGTCCATGCGCACCTCAGCTTTGCATGGCACGACAAGGTCTCACGCACGTCCTCCGCAGCAGACGCTGCACGACAATCCTCTTACAACAGCCGCCTTAACTTGCATTCAACGCGGCATTCATTGCAGCAAGCTCGCATGCGAGGTACCTCGTGACAACTACAGGGTGCACCACTGCGAATCCGCAATCCTAGGACTGACAGCCCCTGTGGCAATAAGTTGGTTGGTATGGCTGGTTCACCACTGCCATTGTGAATCGAGCAATCTTTTCCGGACTTGCTATGTCACCCGTTCGGTGCCTGAACACCCATGGCACCGGCATTGCGTGACACTTCCTCAGTACAAACCGAGATCGCGTCGGTCAATCACAAGCACTAAACACACTGCGCCATGGACCTCTCGGCACAATGTGAGCAATAGTGGTTTAGAGTCAGATCATGAAACTGCAGACCCAAACACAGCAGCAAACTATATTCTCAGTGAAAACAAACTAGTTTAACCACGCAAATCCACGGCCACCAACACCAACACCGTCCAACATCAAGCAACTCACGGATTTGCGCGCTGAGCCAAAGCCGCGCACAGCCGCGCACACGCACAAATGCAGCTGATTCACCGCTGACCAGATGAACCAAGGACCAAAAAACAGGTATAAAAGTCAAGAATTCAATAGCGAAATCGAGACGTTCCAGAGAGCTTGCACCTAGAGCTACAACACAAAAGAGTCAAGTGATCAAAACGACACAACGCATCAACCCAACCAAAAGAGCACAAGTTACGAAACCGGTAGGACAAGCCACAAATGTGCACAAACAAAATGTCACACTACTTTCAAAGTTCACCTTTACAAGCCGGGCAACTCAACGAGCAACCCAACCGTACATCGAGGCCCTACGCACATACTCAGTAGGCAACCTGCTGCAAAAGTGTGCCGTACTCCACTGTTGCGAACTGATATTGACATCTGAATTGCAGACGGGGGTCACTATCTTCTTGTGCTTCTTACCTCAGCGGCATGAAAACAGAATCACATGCCTAGCCACTACAGCCCCGACAGCAGACACAGAGTCAAATTAGGGTTTAGGGTTTAGGGTTTGAGGGTTGAGGGTTTAGGGTTTAGGGTTTCGGGATGTGCGTGGCAGCTGTCAGCCGGGCGGCTGCAGGCCGGGCACTGCCAAGGCTCTCCGGCCTCGCCAGTCGTCCGCTCTCCGGGTTTCCCTTCGCGCGACGCGGGAACAATGGGATTTTCCCCCCCTGAGACTAAGAGCTCCTTCGTAGGGATTATCATAGGGGGTACTATAATCCAAATTTACTACTAAGGACTGTTAGTATTCGGGGGAACATCCCAACTTTCACACATTTTGAGACGAATTTTACTGATTCGTCGCGTGGTGTCAGATGATATCAGGCGCGTCAGCACGTTACCGCACGAAGCTGTTGGCAGGTGCCTGTGTGTGCCTGAGGCGAGATCACAGAACCGCAGTGTGGACACCTTAGGAGGCTGGGACAGGAAGCCGCAAGCTCTCGGTGGCTAAGATCCCTCGCATGCTCAGAGCAATTCACGCTAATTTAGACTACATCGTTTTCGCCCCTCCCCTTCAGTACCGCGGGCCTGGCGAAGTGTACCCTGAAACCTAAAAAATGATGGTTGGATTCCATTTGCCCAGATCTGTTGCGATAAGGAAGTGACAGGAATTCAATCAGTGTCAAGCTGCACATAGGCAATGTCGTAGTCGGAGCTGCGCATCAGGCGATCGTGCAGCAAGAAAGCTGTGCCGTGAGCCAGCAATGAGTCTCGCTCCATCTCTCCGAATCGAATGCCTCCTTTCTTCCTTAGCTCAAGATCACATGCCTCACTGACCGCCCCCACAAGGATGTCACCCAATGTATCTTCACCCGCAGAGCACCAAGTACTCAGCACTGCAGTTCTGTGTCTGCCCCCTCGAGCCTACGTGCTTGGCTTACTTACTTGCTCTGACATGTTGTGAGGGTTTACACAGCCGAGCATCTTACGCCCCTTGACAGGCTGATTGGTCAGCCGGTCCACGGTACCCCGGGCACGCACTTGAGCCTTGTCCTCGGTTCTGAAGAGCAGACACATGAGCCATTGTCCCTGCGCTCCTCCTCATCTCGCTTCTCTCGTCGGGCTGTCCGCAGGCATGGGGAGCCCTTACTGCTCCTTCTTGCGTCCTTCCTTCCAGCATGCTTGACGTATTACCAAGTCAGTTCTCGACACTGCTTCCTATCTCAATGACCCTCTTCGAACCCACTCCCATGTATCTCTCTCGCTCTCTCGCTCTGTCTCTTCTCAACGCAAGCTGATGTGAGACCCGTTGTTGCTGTTCCGGCCCAGTGGCCATCACAAGATGCCGCAAGCGCTGGTAGTACCTGTGTGGGGGGCAAGGTTTTCGTGTGCCTTTCGTGCGACAAAAACTCTGCAGCCTCTCCGCGCTGACGCGCCTGTCTATGGAGTTCCGGACAGGATTCAGGATTAGATCTGAGCAGAAATATTGTTGTGTTCAAGGGCTTGCTACGAGACGGCTAGGCCCTAGGCCCTAGGCAGTCTCTGAAATGCGCTCGGCGCGCTTGCCTTTTTGTCATTTGCGGCCTGTGATGAGCTGTAATTTGATGTCTTCTCACAGATTCTAAAAGGCTTCTGCTAGTGACCCGGTCACACCCATCCGAAAGTCACTAGATGACACTGGGTGTATTTCTACACATCCAGCTCGCCCGACCAAATCGTTGTGGTGAAGGGGAACACCAACTTAGGGAAGCAAGTCAACAGTCAAAGGGGGAGCTGCCACCGCCACCCTGAATTTTAGAGCCCAATCCGAGGGAAGGCACGAAGAGGCGTGCAGAGGACAGCGCGGAGCGCAGATGTGGATGTATGCTTGGAGTGTTGTCCTACGAATACATTCCTTCTGCTGACAGTTCCTGCTCGCCACCTTCTCACGGCAAGTTTCTGTCCTTTTGCAACCCCCCCTTCCCCCGCTGGGCCCCCGCCCCCTCAACCAAACCCAAATCCCTCACGCAAACGCGATAGTTACCCTACACCCTAGCATCCTGTCCTGCAAACCCTAGGCTCTAAGCACAAAAGCCCACCTCAAACCTAGATCCTTACAGTTTAAACAACTCATGAACAACCATGAACAACTATGAACGACTCCTAGAGAAAAGACACCAACAATAAAACCTTTAAACCCTATAACCATAAATCCAAAACTGCTCCACCACCAAACACGGGCCAAACTCGAGTAGAGGGGGGAGGCTGCACATGTATGTATATATATATATATATAGATATTGATTTATGTATTTATCTATTGTTTTTTTGTAAACATATATATTTCGATTTTTATATGCATTTTTATAGTCTTTATCTATTTATCCATGCATTTGTTTTTGCCTATTCAATAAGTCATCTATTTGTTAACTATTGTTATCATTTGAAAAACTTATTACTTGTATCTACATATATGCCCTCTCGTACATGTACTGCACATGTGTATATATATATATGTATACATGAGATAAACATATACACATATCTATGTATACATATGTATATATAGAGATATGTGTGTGTGTGTGCATCGTACATGTACAAAACTACATATCGAATCAGAACCATAGATACACACACAGATGTTAAACAAATACCTACTGTATGAATACATATCTGTGTTCACCCCTACGAGTTGTCAACAATGCTCAACCCTTGCGCGTTCGCTTTGCTTTCTTTAGAGGTTGAGGGATCTTGGGAGAATGTGCTGGGGAGAGGGGGGGGGGGTGGAGGAGGCGCAGAAGCTCACAACGCAGCACAGAAATGACAACGAACAGAAGGCAGTGTGCCTAAGGCATAAGGTGGAGCGACGGCTTGTGATCAATATGGAACGTCGAGTCACACCACGCCAATGAAAATGTCGGCTTCAATCTCGGTGCCATGGATTCCGGAGTACATTCCTGCTTGTAGAGCTGGCTGCCGATGATGATAATGATAGTGGCATGCACAAGACAACCGCCAGGTTCACCGTCTACTTGCGCATGTCAAACAGCAGCCAAGAGGCGTTCTGTTCCAAGGCGCTTGTAGCCGTGGATTTTCAACCTTGCAGTCGGAGCTAGTGGGGAAGTAGACGGGAGTCTCAAATGACTGATAAGGGGTTTCTCGGACTTATGGCAATAGGGGGTCCCCTTGGCTCCGCCACAGTGAGTCAAAGCAGCGTCTTCCCGAAGTAGTCGGCCGCCTTGGTGCCAAAGCCGTCGGCGGGCTCCTCGAGTCTAAGGCTGTCATTTTGCGCAGAGTCATTTACAAACATCAT